TATTTCAAATCTGCTATCGCAAGTGATACGAAATTGAAATTTACATTTAAATGGGTCGAGATAGTGCCATTTTATTCACAAGTTAATTGAGTGTCCAAACACGGAGAATTGGTTTATTGAATCGGAATGAATATTCCATGTATTTTTCGAGAACAAAAAGGTTGCACGATTAACAAACTGTAAAGAAAGAATACTTTTGGGAACATTTATATATACTTATGAAAAGTAAGGTCAAACTACAACTTTAGTGCTGTTGAAACACGTTTTTGTCTGGGCTTTGTGCCCAAACAAAATGAAAGATTTATTAAACTCCCAAAGCTAAATTCTCGCGCAGTAGTAAATTTCCCAAGGCGAGCATAATGCATGTGAATACTTCTCATTCACCGCGACTATCTGTAGTCAGATTTCGTTTACCCATGGAGGAAAAACCCCGAGCAGAGTGTCAATGCACCCGGGGCAGAACTCAAGTCCCCGAAAGCCACTAAATATGGTCACATCAACCTAGAGAGCGCGCCGCGAGTGCAATTGTTAATTATGTATGCCAATCTGGTAGCCAGAAATGTCCACAACACTTTAGCGCCCAAGATATCAGCAGACAGCCGAAATCTCATGCATTTCATTAAGCCGAAAACAAAGAAAAAATGCCACAAAATGTAAGAAAGACTGAAATCATCACCCTAGTCACCACCAGCCACAACCGCCCACTGACCACCGGTCACCACACAAAGTGTTGACGCGTGTTTGGATTTCCATTTAGGCCCTGGACACGGGACGCTCTGAAGCCAAAAAATTCCCAACGATTCCGATTCCCACTCGGATTGCATATTTAATCAGAGCTGCCAAGTCTCTTCGACGATGCAGCCCACATCAAGTTAAGTTTCAACTTAATTTGTAATCCATCAGCAATGTCGAGCATAACCCTCTTCTTGTTAATTTACGAGCTTCAAGTTTTGCGCCACCAAAAACCCCCGAAAAAAGGTTGCTCCGGGGCGTCATCAATTTCGGCAAATGTTCCTTCTCGGGCGGCTGCCGCCGCGATTCGCAAATTGCAGCTAATTGAAAAATGTATACAAAACAAATAACAAAAAGCGAAGCCTAAGTGCATTTCCAAGGCAAGCCGGGGCAACTTAACGATCTGAACTGAGGTGGAGAGCGGGGTTTTCTATTGATGACGACAGTTTATAAGAATTACGCATGAACAAACTAATTTCCATTATGAAAAGCCCCAAAGAAAAAACAAAAGCGTTGCAATGACAGACAGAAGTGTGATAAACATGCATAGATAGCCGACCAAGTGATGTTCTTTGTGCTCGACGCCAATGGATGAATCAATAAGAAATACAGATACAACATTATTTGTAGTCCATGACACATTCAAAAGGCAATATAGGTATCTTTAATAATTTTAAATAAATGTAATAAGGATTATTAAGTTAGTGCCACACTCAAAACTCGCAGCTCGCATGAGAGTATTTCGCTGGCAGTCAAGTGTGGCGACTGCAATCACAAATGGGTAGCGCACAAATAAACATTTTCATTTAAAATGTTATATTTATTGAAAGGCGACATCACTTTTGATATGAAAACTCAGGCGTGGGCGTGGGTCTTCTCTGGCTTTTTGATCGTCATTGGCGGAAATTGCCGTACAGTGGGAGAAAAGAGCTCAAGCAATTGACACGATTACCGAAATATGGGTCGCAATATATGGAAACGCGCTCGTCTATAAACTCTATATGCATGCTGTTCATGGTGTTAATCAAAAAAGCGGTGCAAGTTTTTTAATGATGTTGCCACATTGGTGTAATTAGGCAAATGGAAAGGGGCGCTGAGGGAAATGGAGCCGAGAAGAAGATGCTGACAAAATCGTTCAAGCTGAAAGGAAAACTTTTGCCCTAATGCAATTTGCGCATTTGCCACAAATGGAAAATTTTCTACTTGGCTTCGAGTAAACTCCATGGCGACCCTTAGACTTCAAGGTGTGACGATGAAAATTTACCCTTCATTGACTCAGAATGAGATTTCACTCTCTTTATTCCCTTTAAAGTGTGTCTTGCGAATGCGTAATTAAGTTGCTTCATCAATTAACTCGAGTACACGCAGCAAAAAGAAAGGTTATTCTGATGGTTGAAAGATGGTGGTTTTAAGCTGAAGCTTGATTTCCACTTTAATATTTACGAAAAATATATATACTGCTATTTTCCTAGTACCTAAAGTGTCCGTTAACAGGCCCGCAGACCCGAAATGGTTACAAGCAGCCCACAAAAGTCAGTCAGCAATTACGCAGATAGAGGGTGCTGGAAAGGAGCTCCTCCATCTCAGTGGCCTGCTACTGACATCCTAGCCCACCCATTCGAGTGTTACCAATTTGGGAGCTATAAAAATGTCTGCAGCAAAACAAAACAGCGAAAGTGGTGGAGGAGAAAGGAATTTTTGGTATTGTTGTCTAGTGCAGCGGTCAGAGTTAGCAGGGTTCAACGGGTCGTATGCGTAATCAATTGTTGCAGCTGTGTCACGTTCTACGAAAGATAGCCACAAATAAGTAAGGCCCGATCTGTTTGGCGCCCCCACTGCTACGATTTACTTAATCGAGTTTTGGACACATTTTCAGGTCAGTTGCCAGTTGGCAGCTGCCTTTGTGCTCGATACTCTATTGATTGCCAGCCAAGAGAACCAAAAAATGATACGAGCTGCAATAATAAACAAAGTGGCATTTCCATTTGCCAAAACGAATTGCTTGCATGCACGTAATTTCCCGGAAAATATGAAAGAAATGTGGAGAATGGAAAACAAAAGCTTCAAGCCAACCAAGGGTCAAGATTTCTGGGATTAATTACTTTCGGTTGTCTTCAACAAAGAATCTGAAAACGATTTAAGACACATTTCGGTCGTCAGACAATTGACCCAAACTGCCAATAAAATTGAGTAGCATGAAATGTAAATAGAAGCCTTCTCTCCTTCTGGCTAATGGGTCGATTATGACCGCGATGACGTTGCCACTTTGCACGGCACACAGCTGAGGAGAATGTAATGAGAAAGCCATAAAATAAACAGTTGAATAATCGCCAATAATGAGAGCTCCCATCTCCGAGTTGTTCCCATCACGCCCTGGGGCCATCTTAAAGATACACGAAATCGATTCGACAGCAATCCGCACAATAATAACATCCCAAAATACATGTGAGCTTCTCAACAATGGGCCAAAAGCAAAAGAGCCACGAGATCAAAGCGATCAAAAGTTCCCCGATCTGTGGGATAAGGCCATGATATGAAATCCGTGAGGTGTGAACTTTGGTGTGGCCTTTCTTTTGATTGGGGAACTCATAGTGATAATTGTTTGGCAGGTCTGAAGAAAGATCCACAGTTCTGTATGGCTAAACATTTATTGTCAGACTATGGCTCTGTGTTTATAATAATATTTGGATTAATTATGGACATTCTTTGCATTTCAATTTGTGATTTATAGGCGAACCATTATTTGGAAAAGATATTCTTAGCTGCCCGTAGCATTGCCCTGAATTTGTGGGATATATAAATAAATACCTACATCATATATATTTTAACTATTTAATTAGTTAAATTGCGTACTCATCAGCTACGTTTCTCCTTTGGCGAGTTAGTAGAAAATTGATTTTCACCTTAAACAGAAATCACATTTAATTATTTTTCTCTCAAAACAGATTCGAGCGCGCCAAAAAATTAAATAAATTATGCAACAGCTGTCATTAATAAAGTCGAGCGCGAAAAAGCCAAAAGCAACAAAAATCGAAAATATCCCACAATGAATCAAGGTCAGTGTAAAAACAGCATAAATGCAACAGCAGCGCCAGCAACACAACAGCGGCAAATTGAAGTTGCATTTTGCGTTGAAAATCCAGTTTTGTATTTGGTGAGGTGCACTTGTTGTTTAAAAAACACACAGGCCGAGATATATTCGAAAAACGCACTCACGTTCGAGTGACTATTGATTTCTTTTACATATCAAGTGAGCTGAAATTGATTCAATCATGCCGCACAGGTTTGCATCTCAGGCTCTGTTTTTGGGGAAATATAAATTCACTCCATGTCAAAATCAATTCACAGCAAGAAAATTCAACTTTTGCCATATCGGGTTTCATATTTTTCATATTTCCCACCGACGTACTCACATTCACACTCACACTCGCACTCACACTCGACAGATCGCTTTTTTGGGGCGTGTCAGTGTCTGGGTTCTTGTAATTAATCGCCGCGAATGCAAAAATTTATGAGATTTTCATGAATTTTTGAAGCCTCTGCGGAGTTATGTGGGTTGCCCATGGATTGGCATTGAAGTGCGTGGAAAACCGAAAAAACACTCGCGGTGACTATGTGCCAACTGACCATATATCAATTAAAGTCACAGTCTCAACAAAATCGTGTGACAATTAAATCCGCAAAATACCGAATCGATTGACTTGGCAATCGTTCAACTGTGCACATTTGCATGGTTGTGGTTCGGCGAAAAATACGATAAACCGCTTTAACGATTATGTGATAAACACTGAGATTGATCTGTCACAATATCCAGTCAATGTCAACTAATCAGCCAGGCGGCTAATAGCGATATAATTAGTTAATTAAGACCCGTCCAAAAGCTTGGGAATCGAGGATTGATTAGACGAGATTAGAAATCGGGAAACTTAAAGCAACCCATAAATATACTCGTATATAAGCAATCCTTTGGAAAAGTGTATGAAAAACTTATCAAGCATAGTAGCTATATTTCCATTTATGTAAATGAAGTCATGGGAAATGCAGGTCCTTTCGCGGGTTATTCACAAGCAAACAAACAAGTTTGGCAACCTCCTTCAGCGTTTTGAAAAAAGATTTAATCAGCCCGCCAATTTTCAGCCAAACAATCCCAATCCGGAAAACGTGTGTTTGCATTTGTCTGCCTTTTGGTTTTGATTTTGTTTCCACTTATTTTATTTTGTTCTTTTGCATCGCTTTACCTTTTTCATTTTCCTCACACCCAACTTTGGATGTAAATATTTGAATTTTCCATTCGTTTGCAGATGGCTTAAAGTTTCCGATTGTCTAGGGTTGAAAATTCACCTCGGGTATGTGTTGCTAGGCGAGTGTAAAAGCATAAGAAAGAACCATTTATACATTCTCTAGACTATTATAAGGTTAGAGGTTTTTTATTTTTTCTGTATAAACGACTTCATCCGACTTCCCAAAGTTTACATAGTAGCTTTCATCACCTTGTCGCCTACCTGCACAAACTCTTTCAAATTCGCATAAAAGATACTAAATAACCGAGTGCCTATAATCGATATTCATAGTAAATAAATAACAATCGGTGATTGTTTACAATTAGTAAAGGCGAGGGAAGCGAAAAGATTATTATTCATGAATGAAAATGGGCCATAAAATTCTCCCCAGATTCGATTAGAGCCAATTGAAATCATTCGTCGTCAGCGCTTGCGGGATTTTCGTGCTATTTAATACCTTAACAAGAATATTACAAGTGGGTATATGGAGTTGGGGATCGTTTCCTATAATTGTACAAATCATTGTGCAGCTTTATTTCCTGGAGAGAATTCAATATTTTGAGCTCATGCGGTATAATTGTCATTTAATAACGGGTGTAATTAGGTAAATCATTCTCTGGCACTAATAAGTATCTTAAGGTCGTTATTGTCAAGTACTGGCTCGGTATTTTCTTATATTTTTCCGAGGTGCCCAACTATCCGCTCAGTTGTTGCTGTTTTCGGTTGCTAGTTGCGAGGTCAGTGGAACATAAACATGCCATAAATCATCCGGCGAAAGTGTGAGGGAATTCGCGGAGGAGGTGAAGGTGGCTCGTGCTGGGAATCTCTTTTATTTTTGGACATATTTTTGTCCTTCCTCATCCTGCACTGAACTCGTCATACTGACATTTGGGGCGCGCGGAATGTGAAGTTAAGATTCATTTAGTCGTTGGGCGCACATATACGAAAAAGCGATTCGTCGACACTTTGTAGCCCATCGCAAATCTAAAACTGTCAACAGACTCATTAATTATGACTTGGTCATAGTGGTGAAAAATGGGTCGTGGCCCACGATTCGGCCGGAAACATTCTGTGTCAAATTTGTCATTCATCAGGTTTGTGTGTGTGTGCTCTTCTCTTAGCCTTTTGTTTCTGACAGGAACAAGGCTCGGTCCTGTGTCCACCGGTTTGGGCCATCTAGTGATTTGGGCCCATTGTTTAGCTGAAGTGTTTGATGGGCCGTTGGCTACATTTGTGCGTTATGAATTTGGGTTAAGTGTGGGCATGATAAGGGTTGTGCGATAAAAAGTTTGGAGCACTGGACATGTAAGGCTGTCTGACAGAATACACTTTTTTGAATCAAGGAACAGCAAATTTATCGCTAATGTTCCATAGGATTTAAATTTATAATATGATCATTAAGTTGTTAATAGCATAATGTGCTGCTGGAGATAATGGCATGCATTAGCCACAAACCACCAAGAGCCCATATATAATAAATATATAATAATTTACGAACCGTGAGTGACACCTCATTATCGCGTCCCCTTAGACAGCATCAATCACCCCGATAACCCGAGAATTCGCTGCATTTGAGCCACGTTGAGCGCATAAAACCAGCAATCACAGTGAATTCCATTTGCTGTCGTGCAATATATACGTAACAGAAGAAAAAAAACAATAAAGTGCAACTGAAGCGGAAAGTGAATGCAAAGTGAATGAAATAAATTCGAACTGCGGCAGAGAAGTGAGTGAGCTGAGTTTAAGGAACCGCAACGGCAGCCGAGAATCATGAGCGAGAAACGAACCGCACACAAAACTGTCATCAAATGACAAATGCTTGACAGCATCAATCAACAAAAGCGACTACAGCGACGATGGCAGCACGTTGCCGGTGGAGCTGGCGCCTGGCGCTCTGCCCTCTGCTGTTGCAACTGCTACTGCTGCCAGCGGCGATGGGCCATGATGAAACCAAAGAAAGTCCCGCTCCGGCCATGCAAAAGCGCCAGGAGCAGCAGCCATATGCCCACCTGCAGCATCTGCAACATCTGCAGCAGCAGCAGCAGCAACAGCAGCAGAAAAATCCACAAACAGTCAAGCAACTTAGCCAAATTACCGTGAATATAACTGCGAAATCTGCCTCTGCCTCTGCCACTGCCACGCCCACGGGCATCAGGGAGAACGTGATGCTGCCATCGGCCGATCCCGAGAAGGAGGCCCAGATCCTGTACGAGAAGTCCTTGCAGGAGTACCACGGCAGCCAGCTCTCCACCGCCTCCACCTCCACCTCCGCCTCCGCCGACGTCATCGCCGGCAAGCGGACGCTGCACTCCATTTGTGAGCGGTGGCAGCAGAAGCACTGCCACTGCACCGGCAGCCTGGAGGTCCTGCGGCTCAGCTGTCGGGGAATAGGGATCCTGGCCGTGCCGGTCAACCTGCCTAGCGAGGTGGTCGTCCTGTGAGTATACCTACTTTGCTTTTAGCTGATTTATAAAATTGTGCCAAGACATGTTTGCAAAGTTCATCTATCCATGATCGTTCATTATTATTTTACGTAATTTGTATGATAATAATAGCGATATTAATTTTGTAGAAGGCAGTGAAATTATTCATGTTGAGGAATAAAGGGATTTTTAAATGTATGCGCCTGGGAAATTTCCATTTCTTACATTTTTATTCAAAAATGCAAATTAGTGTTTTACTTTACCATCCAAATAATAATTTTACAGTTCAAAGATTATCTTTCAAACATAAGACGTTTAAACAGCTGTTTTGAGCTTGTAACGAAACATTAAAAAATATTTTCATTTAAGCTTCTTTAAATGAGCAATAGGATTACTAAAAAAATGTTATTATTTCGGGCACTTTTTGTCTGCTGTCCTCTCATGTTTCATTTTTTTCCCCAATAACAATACATGCTAAATAAGGTGTATCCTTGAGCATCTCTAAGTTACCACAATAGCTGCTTAATTACGCGATTAATAAATCGAAAACTTCCCCTTATCAAGCGATTAAGCCTGCCAGCACGAGGTATTGGACCATTTCTCGCTGCTGAAATTCCGCAAATCGCATAATTACAAGTCAATTTCGCAGTCTTCGGTCCGATTCGGTTTCGGACGATTTTGGCATGCGGTTTAATCTAATTACACATACGCCACGTTGTGCAGCATTTCGCAATCATCGTCATCGTCACCGTCACCGTCGCGTCGTCATCGCAGCCAATGCTCACGTATGTGAGTCACGTTTTCTTGCCGCCGACGGGCTCTCTCAAAGGAGTTGGGAACCGCTTTTGGCTTAGCCAAAGTTTCAACTGATTAATGGCCAACTCGAACGGTCCATAAATAAATAAATAATTTATTAATTAACGCATCGCTCAGGGACACTAGTCATAAGCCATTAAAATCACTCGTATCGCATATTCTACACTCACTTTTATCGGGTGAATCTTTGGATTTTGGCAAAAGTTTCGTTTGGCAACTGGAACACTTCCCAAAAAAAAAAACCTGAAGGCGGTTTATCATCATTTTTACGCCATTTTCCGCTGCGCAGAGATCTTGGGTTAGCTCAATATGTTTCTATGCCATTTCCAGCGTGATTGATGGCCCACAGAGGTTTCCCCCTTCGCAGCAATCATTTAAGCCTCGTTTTCAATTCATGACAATGGCAAATGTTTTCTCCTTGCCTTATTGATAGATGAAATGTTGGCAGCGATACAGTTATTAATTTGTTTATTGTTTTGCTTCTGTCATTCATTTACCAACAGAGATTTGGGTAACAACAACTTAACCAAATTGGAGGCGAACTCATTTTTTATGGCGCCCAATCTGGAGGAGCTGTGAGTATAGCCCCTGATTGATGTAAAAATGTAGCGGAAACTGTTCAGCCCCACAGTTTTATGGCCCCTTTAATTAATGATAAATTCACTTCATTCATGGTTCGGATACTGCCCATCCTGCCCATCCTAAATTAAGCTGTAGTAAAAACAACCGAGCACCCAGCTCCGTTGGGATATTTTAGAAACCACCAAACTTCCCCATTTTAATCTGTGCTAGACTGCAGCGAAAGTGTAGAAATATGACAACAATATAAAAACTTTCGTCATTTTGAACAGTCAAAGTTGCCGTCTCCGGGCTTGGCAACTCATTATTCAATTTCACAGCGAATCCATACAGAAAAAAGGAAATATCACAGCGGTCAACATGCGACCCAATCCTGGCCAAGCCGCAGATCCCCCTGGTTTGGGTCCCGACCCTTGGTAATATAAATTACTTGATTACGCTGTATATTTCAGCGAGCTGGCACGATTAATTACCAGCGACTTTGCTATCCCTGCAATTTCCTGCACTTTAGCCGACGACACTCGACTTTAGGTTGACTTTATGCGGCTATATACGTATTATCTGTTGACCAAGGGAAGGTTTATTTGCAGAACTTTGTCCGACAATAGCATCATTAATATGGATCCCAATGCATTCTATGGCCTGGGCAAACTGAAGCGATTGAGCCTGCAGAACTGCGGCCTCAAGTCATTGCCACCGCAGTCGTTCCAAGGACTTGCTCAGCTGACCAGCCTGTAAGTATGCAAAGAAAATGTTTTAAAAATAATAAAAAATACAGAACCCGCTCTATGTGTGTGTGTGTGAGTGTAGTGGGGACGTTTGTGTTTGCTTTTAAGCACTGCAATTAAGTTGGGAAAATCGCCGAGAGGAGATGTAGGAGCACAGCGAGGACTTCTCAGCCGGATGAATTTGTTTGTTTTTCGGGGCAAACACACCGCCACACGCACATGCACTTGCCGAGCAATTACACGCCATTTTCTCATATTTTCCGCTTTTCTCTGCTGTTTTTACCCCTTTTATTTTGATGTTCTTGCAATGGTGTAAAAAACCCACACAGACAGCTGAATGGCAACGCCCTGGTCAGTCTGGATGGCGATTGTCTGGGCCACCTGCAGAAACTGCGCACCTTGCGATTGGAGGGCAATCTCTTCTATCGCATTCCCACGAATGCCTTGGCCGGACTCAGAACCCTAGAAGCACTGTGAGCCCTTTGACTTGCCTCAGTTCGCGAGGTTTTAGACTAATTAATGTGCTGCATGCTACGAAAATTAGTAACCATGTGAATTGGCCAAATCTATTAGTTTTTGATTCTTTAATCCCTGTTGCTACTAGCGCATTATGTACAGCATGTGGTTCTATGTTTGGCATGCACTCTGGTAAAAGGTTTTAACTTACATACGCAAACCAATTAGTCTAATTATTATATCACAGCAGTTATGTGCAGGGAAGCGAAAACGGGTTTGTCTAACCTCTATATATACTTTATTAATAATTTATGGCTTACTACCAAGCAATTGATTAAATACTTCACCCCTATAAACTTACCACAGCCAATAATAATAATTTTATGTGCATGTTTTTATCGAACATTGACCCCGTAACCATTCTCAACCCAAGTATATTACCATTTTTAATCTATAAACTTACTCGAGCCACAAAAACCATTGAATTATAAACGAAAGTTAGGGGATCATAAAACCATGCGATTGCTCATAATTTCTGTCTTCTGCTTCCACTTGAACCATCGACAGCAATTTGGGCAGCAATTTGTTGACAATAATAAACGACGAGGACTTTCCGCGAATGCCAAACTTGATCGTGCTGTAAGTAATTGGAGTCTCCTGGTGGACACATTCATGTGCATAAGTTTGAACATTTATTTCCTCTCATTTTGCAGTTTGCTGAAGCGAAATCAAATCATGAAAATCTCCGCGGGAGCTCTAAAAAATTTAACCGTCCTAAAAGTTTTGTAAGTAGCAAGAACCATGCGAAAAAAACTTCGAATACTTTAAGAACTTTATGCAGGAAACGAAACACACACATGAGCAAAAGGCACATGACAAAAACACACTGACACCAAGAGGACCTCCAAAGCTGCAATTGATATCAACTAGAAAAATGGGTTTCTTCAGGTCTGAAGATGAGCGATAAAATACCCTGTACTTTTTCTCTGCAACTACCTTGAGCAGCCTTTTAAACGGGGCTAACGTCAAACACTAATTATACCCTTTAGAGTAGAGTAAAAGGGTATACTAGATCCATTAGGCAGAAGGAAGCGTTTCCGTCATATAAAGTATATATATTCTTGATCAGGATCAGTCCGCCTTATAAAAGCCTCGATCTCAGGAACTACAAAAGCTACAAGCCGCCCAAAACAGTCACGCCCACACTTTTGAAAAATGCTGAGTAGAAGGTGGAGTAAAACTAAGTAAAAGGGTATCTAATAGTCGGGAAACTCGACTATAGCATTCTATCTTGTTTTTTTGTGATAAATATACAAAATATGACCAAAATAAGCATAGCATATGTCTGAAAACACAGTTTGAAGAAATATATAATGTAGGGTTTACTTATAATTATCATTTTTGAATCAGTCAATCTGATTTAGCGCATTAAAACTGTCAGGAGAATGTACAGAAGTCTATGATACCTCGAGCGAGCAGAAGTGGCAAGTGGAAATGGTGTTTATCCGTTATGCGGCCATGGCTCGAATAAATTTCAATTTTACAGCATGAGCGTGGAAAACTTTTGGCTTTTCTTTATTTCCCCCTGCGCACTGTGCTCAGTTCGGTTCGGTTCCGACAGCTTAAATTGTCGTCGCCAGGGTTGACGTTCTGCGCTGCTGTTTACCGCAAATTTTTGGCTTTTCCGCTGCACGCTTTTCCGTGGGCGCATAAAAACCGCGACTTTCGGCTCCTTAGCCACCCACATATTCCAGCACCCACCCACCGCAGCGGCAGACAAATATGCAAATTTATGTTGTGGCTGACAGAGTCCCATTCTCTTTGTTGAGCAGGACATCCTTGCGAGGAATGCATCAAGTGAAAGTGAAAAACTTCTCGCGGTGCAATGCGTAAATCTAACCATTCCATACACCGCGAATGAGGAAAATATTCCGTGTGCATAGTGCCGTTTGCTTCTGGATTTATGGAAACACAGTCACGCCCACCGAAAGTGGAGTTAGTGGGTCATTTGTGGGGAGAATGTGTAGGAAAATGAGATTGAAAGTTGGTGGCGAAAGCATCTGCTGTTCTCAGCACTCTTTGGCATATGGTTAAAAAGTTGAAAAAAGAGGTCAACAGTCGCGTTGTAAAATGATTTAATACTGATAAAAAATGTTTCATTTAAGCTTTTGTTGTTTACTTTCGCATGGCAATTAAGTACTATAACAATGGAATAAACCCATTACAAAAACGAGATAAAAAGTTTGAAATTAATGAACATTTCACATGTATTTAAGTATTTTCGCTGTTTTGTGCCCTCAATCGACAACACATTTACTGCATTACTTTAATTTGTTGTGATAGACTCAAAGCTTATTAAGTGAATTTTTTAATCCAATTTCATCCAATAAATTACACTCATTAATAATTACTCATGACTGAGAGGATATGTTGCTTAGGTATGCATAATCAGGCTAATTTAGCAGTTCTGTTCAACATTTTCTAAATTCTTAAAAAAATATGATAAATAATTGAAATCAATAGTTTGGTGAAAAATACCCGCAAACTTTATTATCACGCATAAATTTGCATTTGCAACCAGGAGTCACCCCATCGGAAATGAAAAACCCACCGCTTGGAGCTACGTGATGTCACGTAGGAAAACTGACCCCCCAACAAGGTCATGCAAATGGCTGTGCGTTCTTTGGCAAATAAAATGCGAAAGCAAAATTTGCAACTCAATTTCTATGATCGAAATCAAGCATTGTATTTCAAAGCAGCTTCCATACTATACCCTATATTTTCCCTTTGCAGAGAACTGGACGATAATTTAATAAGCAGCCTGCCCGAAGGACTCAGCAAATTGTCGCAACTGCAGGAGCTGTAAGTATATCAGATGAACAAGAAGCACAGGTGCTTGGTCCATATTAGCTGAAAGTAGAGAGTGGGGAACACTTGCAACTGCCACATTGGTGTTGTTGACTTGCCACGACATTTCCCACTTTGTGGGGCGGCAATCAGGCGGAAACCGAAAATCATAACGCATCATTACTTGTCGAATTTATGGCCATATCCAGTCGCAGCCGGCTCGGCTCTATTCCATATCCTGCCAACCACGAATCGTGAACTGCAAGTTGCAGTTTGTTTTTGTCACACGACCGATTCCTTGACTCCTTGACTTCAAACTCCAAAAGGAGCCAAGCAGCCACATCCAGACTGTCATTGCAATACTGACATCGTTTGCGATGGCAAGTACCGAGAACTCCCCAAGGAAATTCAATTTCTGGTAAACAGGATAATTATGAGCATGTTAAATGTTGCGATAAAAGCCACGCTGTGCTGCATCTCCAGAGCCAGTGCATCCATGATTGGGGAATTAAGCGGGTAAATAAATTTGTACGAGTGTAGAAGCAAAAATCCAAGTCCCTCCACTTGCCGTCATGTGTGTGCGGTTTGTAGGGATGTGGCACAAACAAAAAATTAAATTTAAAAGGATTAAAAGCTTCTGCGTTTTGTTGACTCCATTCGAAAAAGAATGGGAGTTAAGCCAAGTCGCTGCAACAAAGTAGACTAGATAAACAGATAGATCTTTTTTGGCTGCCAAATATTTTGACGAGACACAATCTAAATGCAACTTAATTTGTGTGCTTTGAAAACTTAAATCGTGGTGTCGAGGTAGACTCCACTTTCAGCACTCTGAAGTTTCATTACCCCCCTAAATGTTGGCCAAGAAACACAAAAAGACGTTAACAATATGAGCGCCCAAAAGTATGCCCTTGTCACAGTTTATTTTTGGCTTTGTTGGCTTGTTTGCAAAACTTGACTTTTAAATGCAGCTGCATCCAAGTGCCACTTGCCAGCAGTGTGTATTCGAAAGATACTTTTCTTGGCATTGGATAAACGTTTTTATTAAACTTCTGCCACCCCTCTCGACCTCTCAACCTCTCAACCTCTCGACCCTGCAGTTCCATCACCAGCAATCGACTGCGCTGGATAAACGACACGGAACTGCCCAGGAGCATGCAAATGCTGGACATGAGGGCCAATCCCCTGTCCACAATTTCGGCAGGAGCGTTTCGGGGGATGACCAAGTTGCGGAAGCTGTGAGTATCTCAATATCCGGAGTGTCAGAGAAGTGCAAGCGCTCTATTTTTCAGGATTTTGTCGGACGTGCGAACTTTGCGCTCGTTTCCCGAACTTGAGGCCTGCCATGCGCTGGAAATACTGAAACTGGATCGAGCCGGCATCCAGGAGGTGCCAGCGAATCTATGCCGTCAAACGCCAAGACTGAAGAGCTTGTGAGTTCCCAAAACTGATGAAATCATTACTGGTTTGTAATGATATTTTCATTTATTTCTATCTGCAGAGAACTAAAAACCAATTCCCTGAAACGCATCCCAAATTTAAGTAGCTGCAGAGACTTAAGGCTGTTGTGAGTTCCGCATTAATGAATATAGTTGAATATGTAGTATATATATTTTCCGCCCAGAGATCTATCGAGCAATCAAATTGAAAAGATTCAGGGGAAGCCCTTCAATGGATTGAAGCAATTGCACGACCTGTTGCTCTCCTACAATCGAATCAAGGCACTGCCACAAGACGCCTTTCAGGGCATTCCGAAGCTCCAACTTCTGTGGGTTAATTAAAACCAAAATATATTTGCCGAGAATGTAGTGTTATTCGTTTTATTCACAGGGACCTGGAGGGCAACGAGATCTCGTACATACACAAGGAGGCCTTCTCCGGCTTCACAGCCCTCGAAGATCTCAATTTGGGCAACAATATTTTTCCAGAGTTGCCCGAATCGGGTCTGCGCGCTTTGCTACACTTGAAAACCTTCAACAATCCTAAGCTTAGGGAGTTTCCCCCACCTGACACCTTTCCCAGGATCCAGACTCTTATACTCTCGTATGCGTACCACTGCTGCGCCTTTCTCCCACTGGTGGCCATGTCCTCCCAGAAGAAAACCTCCCAGGTCCAGGAGGCGGTCCTCTTTCCCTCCGATGCGGAGTTCGATATGACTTTGTGGAACAATAGCATGATGAATATCTGGCCGCAAATGCGTAAGTAAGCCCTTGAAGAATAGAGGAGATGTAGTTCTAATTTTCCTCACTCCAAAGATAATCTCAGCAAGCAGTTGGGTGCCTCCATGCACGATCCTTGGGAGACGGCTGTTAGCTTCAACGAGGAGCAGCTGCAAACGCAGACGGGAGGCCAAATCGCCACCAGCTACATGGAAGAGTACTTTGAGGAGCACGATGTGAGTGGTCCTGCCACGGGATACGGCTTTGGTACTGGACTATTCTCTGGTATGTCCACCGAGGACTTTCAGCCCGGTGCGGTGCAGTGCCTGCCAATGCCAGGACCTTTTCTGCCCTGCGCCGATCTCTTCGATTGGTGGACCCTGCGCTGTGGAGTGTGGGTGGTGTTCCTTCTCTCGCTCCTGGGCAACGGAACGGTGGTGTTTGTGCTGCTGTGCTCGCGATCTAAGATGGATGTGCCCCGATTTCTAGTCTGTAATCTGGCCGCGGCGGACTTCTTCATGGGCATCTACCTGGGCATCCTGGCCATTGTGGATGCGGCGACGTTGGGCGAATTTCGCATGTTTGCCATTCCGTGGCAGATGTCCGTGCTCTGCCAGTTGTCCGGCTTTCTCGCCGTACTCAGCTCGGAATTGTCGGTTTACACGTTGGCGGTGATCACTTTGGAGCGCAATTACGCCATCACTCATGCCATTCACCTGAACAAGCGGCTGTCCTTGAAGCAGGCGGGATATATAATGAGTGTGGGCTGGGTTTTTGCCTTGATCATGGCCTTGATGCCGTTGCTGGGAGTTTCGGACTACAGGAAGTTCGCCGTGTGCCTGCCATTCGAGACTACCACTGGACCGGCCAGCTTGACCTATGTAATCTCACTGATGTTCATCAACGGCTGCGCTTTTCTCACTCTGATGGGCTGCTACCTGAAGATGTACTGGGCCATTAGGGGCAGCCAGGCATGGAACACGAATGATTCGCGAATTGCCAAGCGTATGGCTCTGTTGGTCTTCACGGATTTCCTCTGCTGGTCGCCGATCGCCTTCTTCTCCATCACTGCCATCTTCGGTCTGCAACTGATTTCGCTGGAGCAGGCCAAGATCTTCACGGTTTTTGTGCTGCCCTTGAATAGCTGCTGCAATCCATTTCTCTACGCCATCATGACCAAGCAGTTCAAGAAGGACTGTGTGACGTTGTGCAAACACTTCGAGGAATCCCGCGTTGTGGGCGGCGGAGGACCGGGTGGCCGTGGTGCAGTGGCAAGAACCAAGAGGGGAGAGCTGCCGCCGCCACTCCTGCCCGCTGCGGCGGTGGCACATCCGCCAGGCTGTCGATGCCTACGGATGCTGCCCAGCGAAATGCCCAACTGGCACAAAATGGAGCAGACGCCCAGCTTGTGGCAGAGACTGAGAGCCTTCTGCTGCGGGGAGAGTCGGAGGCGCCGCAAACAGCGTCGGCAACCGCAGCAGCGACGTCAGAGAGCCTATACTGCCGCAGCCGCCAATCCGTATCAGTATCAATTCGCCGAACTGCGTCAGCAACGCCAGAATCGAGCCAGTTCCATTTCCAGCGAGAACTTCTGCAGCTCCAGGTCCTCCAGCTGGCGACATGGTCCACCATCCTCAGCTCCCGTGCCACCGGGTAACTGCAGCATGCCGCTAAAGATGCTGGAGCCACATGCTCACCCGCACGGCCATGGCAGGAGGCGTCACTCCGCATGGCTGATCACGCGGAAGACGTCGCAGGACTCAAACTTGTCCAGCTCGCGAAACGACTCCTCCGCCTCGGCCACCACCGCCAGCACATCCACCTTCCGGTTATCCCGGTCGAGTGCCGGCAGCAGCACACCCCTGCCCTCGATCATAGGTAAGTACCAGTCCCGAATGATCAACATATGAGTAGAAACACCTTGCCCTTGTACAGCCCACAACGGGAAGACCCAGTTGGATGCAGTAAAACCACGTTTGGTCCGCCAAGAAGCAGTGCAGGAGGAGGAGGACTCCTCGCCACCTCGTCTGGGAGTGCGTTTTCTGCCCACCATACCCTCAGCTGCCGACAGTTCTGTCGTCATGGAGGATGGGGACTCGGTTAACACGGGAGTGGCCAGTTTTCTGGGCATGCCACTTCCTGGGGCGTCCAGTGGCTTCCTGATAGCGCCAACCACTGCTACCACCTCCCCACCGCCGGTGGTCCTGCAGCCGGCCAAGCCGCCTCCCGATCCCAACGACGCACCACTATGATGGTGGGACTGGCGCTGGCGAAGATTGGGTGGGGCCAACCGTGAGACCTTTCTGTAAAAGTAATGGGGAACAGGACAAAAGCTGACTGTGTTCATAGATTGTATTTGGGGTGGGATGGGGAGGTGATGAGGGCTGTTCCGTGGGTTTAAGGACTTTAGGCTAAGAAAGACAGAAATTAATGAAATTCGCATTAGGCATACAAAATATAATGTATTTGTAGCGTTAAGTAGCCAATTTGTTAAGTAAAAACAAACGAGGATCAGGATCCCAGTAAATCAACACACAAGCCCAAAGGATAACAACGTTGAAAGGATCAGTTACAACTCTAGTTTCTCAGATGTTAAAACACCAAAAACAAAATTGGTTTTTCGAGTTTCGTGCTTCGACTGGACGTAAAATTGTATCAATTATAATTTAGATATTTATGTGACCTTTCTTCGATTGTCAGCAACTTCGTATAATTTAAAGTTTATGAACAGCACCTTGAGAAACTGAAGCTGACATGGAGTATTAAGTATTACCTAATTTATTACGGTAGATTACGTTTGTAACTTTTAACCATGCATGTTTAGCTTAACTATATATACATATATGCATATATATGTATATTTATATACGTGTGTATTATTTTCGATGCCAAGCATCCTTCGGTGTAAACTTAATCGAACGAGAAGATTGTAAAGGAAACCAAGCCATAAACATTGAAATTAAAAATATTTCCACATAAGAACAATTGAATTTTTCCGTCCTTAGTTTAGAACCTTCGAAAAACTGAAAAGTCGTATAAAGTTCCTCTTTGCTCTAGGGGTTTCCAACTGAATGTCTCTGATATGAGTTTGGTTAGTCCCCCAGTCCAATGCCCAGCTCGCTGTTCGCATCCTCGCTGCCTGCCTGCACAACTCCATAGGAAGGATTCTCGATGAGCCGGGTCCTTTGCTTGTAGCCCTCACGACGACGTCGCTGTATTTCCTTGAGCAGCAACAGGGGAACCATGACCAGAGCCAAGCAGAGCAAAATCGCCAGGATGAACATGGTCCAATGGAAAGCTTGATGTTTGCCAGACGTGGAACTAATTAGGGATTCGAAGCCGGAGCAGGTGTTTGGCGCAACACATTCCGCCCCGGAAGGGCATCCTTTCGAGCAAATCGGTTCGCACTCGGTGCTGCTGCCGGGCAAAAATCGGTAATCAGGTAGGCAGACGCACTTCTCCGGCGCAAGGCACTCGGCATTGATGCACTGCTCCTTGCACTGGGGGCGACATGAGTTTGGTTCACTGGAGTTGGTGACCACATGCCCGGGATCGCACTCACAGTGTCCTGGCGAGGAGCACCGCCCATTCTCGCACCTCGGACGGCAGCTGGGCACACACTCGTGCGGCACCTTGGTGTCTTCATAGCCAGCGAAGCAGGCACAGCTGTTGGGCTCCACGCAGCTGCCGTTCATGCATCCTGGCGAGCACACCGGATCACAGATGGACCTGGAGCCCGGTCTCAGCTTGTATCCCTCGTAGCAGCGACACTCCCCCGATCCCAAGCAGTGGCTGTTCACGCACTTCTGTGGACAGTGCGGCTCACAGGGCCCAGTGGCCCACCGTTTGACAAAGCCCACGTCGCATTGACAGGTTCCTGGGGCGACGCAAACGCCGTGCACACATCCCTGGCTGCAGATGGGCTCGCAGACACTCGCTCCCAGGCTGGGACTTGGTCGGTAGCCGGTGAAGCAGCGACACTCGTTGGGCGCTACACAGCTGCCATGGAAGCAGGTCTTCGAGCAAACGGGTATGCAGTAGAAGGACAGAATGGCCTGGTTGAAGAGGAGAGGTTTGTGTACAAGTCAGCAGTAATATAGTGTATTTCGCAAACGATCTGAAAAGGAACCCACCTGAAAACCTTCCAAGCATGTGCAGACGCCCGGACTGCTGCAGATGCCGTTCCGGCAGCTCTTGGGACAGAAAGGCTCGCACTCGGTGGTGCTGCCGTTGACGAAGACGTACCCAACATCGCAGGCACAGGTGTCTGGAGCGGCGCATCGGGAGTTCCGGCCACAGCCCGGCTGGCAGGTGGGCGTACAGCGGTGCGGCGATGTCTTCTCGAATCCCTCGTGGCACTCGCAGCGATCGGGAGAACGGCAGTAGCCATTCAAGCAGCCGGCACGGCAGCTGGGAACACACTCGTGACGCGATCCCTCGGCGAACACGTGACCCTCGGGGCAGGCGCAGTGGCCGGGTGAGATGCAAGTGCCGTTCGCGCAGGGCGGATTACACACAGGGTCACAGCCGGAGGCGGTGGTGTTATCCTTGTGGGCATAGCCCACCTTGCAGGCGCACACCTCAGCTCCCTGGCAAAAGCCGTTGGCGCAGCCGCTCGAGCAGATCGGATCGCAAATCCACGGCACCCCCAGGCGCTGCTCATGTCCGGGATGGCAGCGGCACTCGCTGGGCGCCACACACTCGCCATGGAGGCAGGCATCCTGGCAGATGGGCACACATTTCTTGAGCTTTTCATCCCGCTGATAGCCGTTGTTGCATTGGCATTTTCCGTCCTCCGAACAGCGCCCATTGGCGCAGTCCTCCGCACAAATTGGCTCACAGGCAGTTTGGGAGCCATTGACAAATCGGTGGCCAGGAAGGCACTCACACTCATCCGGGGCCACACACGTTCCGTTTACGCAGGACTCGCTGCACTGCGGTGCACAGCGACTGCCATCCCGGGAATTCGCGTAGCCCGGTTTGCAAATACACACGTTGGGCCAAATGCATTTTTCCGAGGCTCCGCAATCTTTGCACTGTGGCTGACACTCGCTGCAAAGGAAAGGGTTGCAGGCACTAACAGGTATTCAATAAGTTGATATATTTCATAGGGTTATTACTTGTTTTCGTCGCGCTGAAAGCCGTCGCAGCAAACCTCAGTGAAGCCCATGTAAGTCTAGGAAGAAATCAGAAAATTACCCTGCCTTAAGTTTGTCGAATGTTGAGGTATAGCTCACCTCGGTTTTGGTTCTTCCAACCAGGGGCCCACAATTTGTGGTGCAGTTTGCTGAGTTTTGGTGCTTACGCATCGTTATCAAAGTGCCACGCATTTTGACCACCCTTGAGTACCGAAACCGGAAAATGACCGAGTGGAAATTAAAAGAATTCAAAATGCCACTGTTGCTACTCACGGCACATCTTTGACACAGCCCTGCACTTGCAGGCTAGTTAGTAAGAGCACGAAAAGAACCAGCATATTAAAAGGAAAATTAAAATTCTGTAATGAGCCACGACTAAACGACTTCGATCAACTGCTCACTCTAAGTTACGCTTAACAAATGACAACGGTAAGTATCTCGGACTTAAGCGCTTATCATTTAAACGTATTATTTTCCGCTCTCTATCGCCTTTCATGTGGGACAGATACTCACGCGTTAAGCTCGTATGTGTTTATTGAACCCGATGGCAGGCAGAACAATAGCTCCAGAGATTGCGATACGGGTCCAAGTTCAGACCACTCGCATGCAGATCCTTAGCATTGAATTCACCAAATAAATCACTTTAGATGTGCCTATCGTTATCATCTCCCTTTTCTCGTTTTTAATCAATATTAGTGCGGCAAATACCACACTTCTACAATATTCAGGTTCATATCTATTTAGCAAATAAAAAGCTGCAATTTTGTCAGTCTAACGCTCGAAAATGAACGATCGGTAGAAAAACCATGTAACATCCCAGTGAAATATATATCTATTAGCCAAATAGCTCATTTATAATTAAAATGTTACAAATAATATTATACAAGCACCCCAATTCTATAAACCTACGAGCTTATAGCTATAGTTTTGGTTACATGCCGAAGTTGACTTTTTATATACGAAACGATTTAGTATAGATAAGAAAATAAGTATATATATATACGAAAAACAATAACAAAGTCAGCCAATTGCGCGCTTAACTGTAGCACTGGGTGTAGATATCATATGTTCTGTAAAAATAAACCGGGGATCTCAATTTTTCCATTAAGTTCGTCGCTTGGAGGGGAGTTATTAAGTAATTGAATCTCTAAAGCTTTTCAAGGTCTAGCCAAATGCCCCCACGCAGACCAGTGATAATTTGGCCAGGGTCATAATCATTGTCTTTGCGCGTTTTGGCATTGATCTTGACGTTGAACTTTGATATCAGTTCCACAATAGCAGCCTTAATCTGGACCGTCGCAAATCGCATTCCTGAAATGAAAAATAATAAAATGTTATAATTATAACAATGTATTCCAGCTCAAATGATCTGTAAAATATGGAAAGTGGTTTTAAATATGTAGTTGGTGATTTTTAATTGTTAGGAAATGCAAATGTTGGGAAGAGTATGCTAAACCAGTTGACTAACCAATGCACACACGCGGTCCATCTCCGAATGCCATAAAGACACCGCGTTCCCTGAACGTTTTTGCAGCATCGGGCTCCATGAATCGCTCTGGCTGGAAGCACTGAGGATTGGGAAAGTATTCCTCATCCAGCATGAAGCAGTAGTGAGGTACAACCACAGTGGTGCCCTTCTCCACGACGAAGTTGGGACCATCCTTGTTGGGGATCTCGATGGCTTCGGTGCACAGTTTGTTCGCCATAAATGCGGGCGGAAAAAGCCGGATGGTTTCTGCAAAGAAATGGGTAAATATAGTTAGAAACAGCAACTACAGCCTGAGAACTGATTCAATTCACCCTGCACACATGCGTCCAAGTAGGGCAGATCGTTAAGCTTCTCAAAGCCAATGGAGCCATCCTGCAGATGGGAAAGAATCTCCTCTCGCAGAAGCTTCTGTGCCTCCTGATTACGACCCAGATTGAGCAGTGTGTGAGCCAGCACCGTGGCCGTCGTTTCGAATCCATCCAGCAGGAAGGTCATGGAATAGGCCAGCAGCTGGCGATTGTCCAGGTTGCGCTTCTCCCCCAGTTGCAAGATGTAGTCCAGGAAGTCGGACCGCTCGAACTGCTTTTCCGCCGCCAACTGGGCACGACGTGCCTCCACCGCACTGCCCATCAGGTCGACGAAGAAGCTTTCCACATCCTTGGGCACGAAGCGTAGCTTAACCAAGTGACTTAGCGATGGGAAGGCACTGGTCATTAAAAAGAAAAACACAAAGGTCCAGGGTTGGTTGAAGAGATCCTTGATTTTCGCCATTACGGGTGTGGGCTTATCCGTAAAGCTTTCAGCACCCAGGCCCAAAACGCAGTCGGTGACCATCTCAGTTGTAAAGCAGAGACTCATCTGCGAAGGCCAAGTAGCACAAAACGGGTTTGGGTTCATATAATGCACACGATACTATCACAAAGAATCTTACGTGCTTGGCATCGATGCCGTCGATGGGGCCCAGGCGTAATTGCTTTTCCACCCACTCGCTCAGCTTCTGGCACACCTTGTTCGTCACCGGATAGACTGTCTTTATCTGTAATTATATCGGATGGATCAGTATCTTTTGGGCTTGCCACTGGATGCACTGCCTCACCCGTCCCATCGTAAGACCAGGAGTTACGTCTGCCCTTCGAGCTTTCCACTTTTCGCCAGTTAACGAGAATGGGTTGTTGGCGAAAATAAAGTCGGTTTTCTCGTCAATGTTCTTGGCTATCTCATTGTCGTGGAAATTCTTGAAGTTGGACACAAATACTCGACGTGCTAGCTCGGGATTGATCACCAGCAGCTGTGGAGAGCGAACGCCAAAGATGCCCACAGCATCGTACTTGTCCTTGTACTGTCTACAAACAATAACCACATTAAATGTTCATTTGAAATGAGTTTGTGAAGATGATGGTAAGCACATGGTCAACTGACTGTTGGTAGTACATATAGCATTTTGCCCTTTTTGCGGTCACACTCACCTGTATATATCGTCCAGATCGTAGATCAAATGCCGCTTCATGGTGAACATGTGTGGATAGTTGCCGCACAATAGCTTGGGCTTAGGGCCAGGAACGCCCCGTTTTCTCCAGTAATCGTAGTTCCATACCAGAACGGCATACAGCAGGCCCACCACCAACGAAGCCAGGGTCAAAGTTATCAGAACCATTTTCTACAGCTCTAAAGTCTGCTGCCACGCGCTGAAAGTTCTGAATAGCGTCTGCTGGGAAAACAGATATTCTGCTCTATTTGTAGCTGCTCATAGAAATTGAGAGAGGTGTTCAACAAGTGTGGATCGCAGATATACCTGAGTGCTCGAAACACACATTTCGAGCGGCACTGGGAGAGTAAACTACTCACAATTTCAGCGCAAACAGTTCTAGCATATAAATGATAAGAGCTAATCATTATTGCAAGCGGTCAGTCTTCATATCAAGCAATTATTATTTATTTACGGTCTTGTTCCTTATAAAAAAACAAAAACATTTGCTGTTGCTGTTGCTGTTGCAACTCGACTAGCCGAAATGAAATTCACCAGGTTGAGGAGACTGAACTATCTTCAGGCGACTAAGTAATGGCTGATGAAATCTACTCAGGAAATATGTTAGCTTTTGCTTCTGTATCACACATTTAGTTTTTAATATAAGGATACACAATTGCCAAGATAATCCCAAGCTGTGTATGTATATATTATCCAATTCTCAACGGAAGTAGCTGAACTTTGTGCCACTTAAAATTGAACAATGCAACAGTTGAATTTGAAACGTTGAGTCGAACTCATTTACAGAGTTAGCTAAGCTGAATTTAATAAGTTCTCTGGTATTTCCAAAATGTCACACATCCGATGTCTTTGGGTGTGTCTAAGTGTTTTAATGGTTCTCGTCGACTGCATTCAACCCTATGGGATGAATGTTTGTAAAAGTCGGAGGGTTTTTACTTACACGAGATATGTCGAAAAGAGTCAATCGATTCCTTACCAGAAGCATTCTTTCTGGAGCGGTTGGCAGACAAAATACCGCACGGAGTATTTCACAGCCGCCGAGGTAAATAAAATTCTATGGTTAAAAGATAAGTGAGCCCCTTCAAAAAATATTAAATAAAATATTAAAAGTTTCCTCTGCACAAAGCAAACGAGATATTTCATTGAATAAGTGTGCTCGTAATCTGGAGCTCATTTAAATTAAAGAGAACACAAGATCACAACAAATTGAGGGCCCAGTTCTGCTTAATCCATCAGAGAGACTGGTTGCTTAAGATAGTGAATATATGTACTTTAGGGAACGAATTGTGTCACATTGCTCATGTATTATTTTTCACTGCATTTTGTGTGTCTGGCATTGTCCTTGGGCACCAGTTTAGCCTGGTTACTACATGGTCCAAATGTTTGCAGTCAGCCGAAAAGGGTTCAGTATACCCACAAGGTTCTTAAGAGCAAATGGGTTCCGTATCAACTGCCTACAAGTTTTCACAGTTGGGTGACCAGATACAGACCCAAATTTGCCTACGAAGATGAGGTAATTCGAATATGAAATTTATAATATTTATAGGTTCAGTAACTGTGCAGTTTCAATTTAATTTTTATGAGATTATTTCTCTCGTTCTCTAGACTGCGTATAGAACCGAATTGATAAACACTTGCTGTGACGGCTACGAAGGATCCATTGAGAACTGCAAACCTGTCTGCACGCAAAAGTGTCCTGCACATGGTTTCTGCTCCTCTCCCAATGTTTGCAGTTGCAACACGGGCTACGGCGGGTACGATTGCCATCCAATTTGTCCGGCGAAATGTGGAAAACACGAGTTTTGCGATCAGCCCGGAGTCTGTAGCTGCCAAAATGGCTACAAGCGAACCTCGCCCAGCGGCAATTGCCTTCCTGTTTGCCAAGAGAAATGTGGACCCCATAGCTTCTGCGCGGAGCCCGGAAAATGCGAATGTGAATCTGGGTACCAGAAACAGGAAAACGGCACCGCCTGCCGTCCAGTTTGTTCGCCCAAGTGTGGCGAAAACGCTCGATGCCAGGAGCCATCAGTGTGCACCTGTCTAGACGGATACAAGGCCGATTCAAAGGGCAATTGCTTGCCGTTTTGCCAGAAACATTGTGGCCAAAACAGCCGATGTGTGAAGCCAGATGTGTGCGAGTGTGAAAATGGACATACCGGTGACGAAGCAGGAACCAATTGCCAACCCGTGTGTTCCCCTCTTCCGGAGAACGGAATTTGCTCGAGCCCCGGCGTTTGGACCTGCAAGCCAGGTTACGTGACGAGAGATGATGATGATCGCTGCCAGCCGCATTGCGAGGAAAACTGCTCGGACTACGAACAGTGCGTGGCGCCAAACCAGTGCGAGTGCATTTCGGGCTATGAGTCGACTGGGGCGGACAATAAATGCGAGCCCAAGTGCAGCAAAGAATGCGCCAATGGCTTTTGCTCTTCGCCGGAGAAGTGTGTCTGCAATATTGGCTACCTAATGGGACCCAACGAAGTTTGTGAGCCACAATGCAGCCTAGTTTGTATTCACGGCAAGTGCACCAGCCCAGAAACCTGTTCCTGCGATCCGGGATATCGTTTCAGGGACAACTCCCAACACATTTGCGATCCGATTTGCGAGAGTGGCTGCAGCAACGGAGACTGTGTGGCACCCAATATTTGTATTTGCCACGTGGGCTATCAGCCGAATGACACAAATCCTGTCACTTCTATGTGTCAGCCGGTCTGCGAAGGCTGCGAGTTCGGAGATTGTGTGGCACCGAATGAATGCCAGTGCAGTATGGGCTATGAGAAAATCAACGATGACTGCGCGCCACAAACCACGACAGACTCCAATGAGTACAGCACCACAACTGAACAGTCCCAGACGTCAACTACCGAACTGGACCCGTACTCCATAACAACACCTAATCCAATAGAGACAACAACCAGCGAAGTTCACCACTTCAATTGCACTGCCGATTGCATGTGCTGGATTGAATATGATGAGATGGGTACTTTCAATACGGCCAAGTGCGCCAGGATCTGCGTGGATTCCCAGGACAAGCCGTGCCTCAACTGGAATAACTGCCACTGCGATCTGCCGAGTGGCCAGCTGGTGTGCCAGGAGGAGGATAGTAGCGTGAATTACAGCGGGGAGAATTCGCGTTACGTGTGCCAAATTTTGCAAGCCAAGAAGGCAATGTCAGAGGCCGCAGCCCGGATTCCAGAGCGAACTGAATCGTCCCCGAATTGGATGGTTATTATGGGCTCCGTCGCTGGAATGATCCTTGGTGTGGCCGCCGCAATTGTTGGCACCAAGTACTATCGTCGGGCAAATCGAAGAATCTATGAAAATGATATTTAATAGCTTACACCCATATAAAATTACTCATTACTTGCAAAGTCGGTTGTAAAATTGTTAAATGACTTTCCGTTAAAAATTTAATAAATAAATAAATAAATGAGAGGACGCAGTTTTGATTTACTAGGGCTTTACCATTCACCCAGAACGTTTTACAAAACTAATTACATTACATAAATACACTACCTAAAATTGTCTCAATTCCTTCAGACGGAGGAAGTTTTACTTTTTATATCTGCCGTGAAAGCAAAGATGATAATGATAGTAGTAGTAGTTCATATATATACATATATATACTTATATATAAATATATAAGAATCAACAAAACTTTTTAACAAAAACACAATTCAACTACAGCTTTAACACCACTGTTCCAGTTTTATAAGCTGATTAATTTCTTTAAAGTATTGGTTTGCAGACACTTTCGGTTTTCAAACCTTTCGTTTGGTGTACCGCATTTTATGTTCGCCCAATCACAGCAGAATTATTTTTCTTGTACATATATGTAGTAGTACAGTTTGTAGTAGTATAGTTTGTTGTGAGTAAGTCAAAATAAGGGAATAATGGGAATAAGAGAAATTTTGATCACGATCTGAGCAATTTGCGGAATTAATACTCTTATACAAACATGTTAAATATAGACGAACTAAAGGAATTATTGAGTTACATTTTTTTTATCAGGTATTTCGGTACAGTTAATACATAAAATTAATTAGAAGAGCAAAACAAACTAATGAGATCTTCTTTTCTATGTATATATACAAAACTACTTTTAGTGAAAGTTTATGTATATAATAATATATTAGTTTCATAAGAAAAAAACAAAAACACAAATAAAAACACTTGTTACGTATTTTTTATCTAATTGGATATACCCCTAAACTTTGCATATAAAGGGTACTAAGGGCGCTCCGCAGAAGTCAACCGAAACTTCAAAGCTTAGTTCATTTTTTGGCGCTGAGCAAAGCAGTTGACTCTAATAAGTCATAGGTCACTAACATGTATAAATTTCAACTGACATTCGTTTGCCTGGCTCTGTTCACTTTGAGCAGTTCCTTTGGTCACGATTTGCAAAGTGTAAGAAGTTCTGAAAGAAGTCTAAGAAATGTATATTCTGTAAAATCTATAGGAATTAATTCTCAGGCAATACCTTCAAAAAATTGCAGTTTCATAAGTATTTAATTTGAAACAAAAAACTTAATTAAATTTTACAAAATCAAAAAGTACAAAAGAATTACTTTTATTTTAAGAGCACCGATCCGACTACACCTACAACCTCAATAACAACAGAAAATTTGCCTACAACTACAACTTTGCCTACAACTACTAAAGAAAATATAGAGACCACCACACACTTACCTGAAAGTCCATCAACTGATAGACCTAAATCAAATATTACCATGTCTATGGTTGCCTGGATTCTTGGCCCTGCATTTGGTTTGGCTACTTTAGCAGTGCTGGTATACTGCTGTGTTAAGCATGGATGAAAAATAAATGAAAGCCTATTGAAGTACTGTATGTTTTAATAATAAAAAAAATGATAATTGTAACTAATAACTTTGAAGACAAAGTGCTAACGATTACTCTTTAAATAATATTTTCTAAAATAAAAATGATTTAAAATATAAGATTGTCAAATATCTCCCTTCCGCCTTTTTGTCTTTTGAATTTCGCGGCTATGTACAATGCGCTACAGAGCTCTTATCTGGCAATACTATACATAATTTGAAAGGTCTTGACATAACCTACAAAACTACACTATGCTTAGTTTGGATGATTAGTTTGGATATTGCGTTCAACAGTTATAGACGTGTAAACATGGTCTTCACTAACGCCGAAATTCGCGCTATTTTAAAGTTTTCTTTCGTTAAAGGCAAATCCGCTAGAGAAACGTTCCATGAGATTAATGGTGTTTTGGGGGATTGTACTCTATCACTTCGAACCGCGGAGGAATGGTTTCGACGATTCAGAGCCGGTGAAAACGACACCATGGATAAGCCAGCCGGCGGAAGACCTGTGACGACAAATACCGATCAAATCATGGAATACATCGAGTTAGACCGGCATGTGGCATCTCGTGACAAAGTTGAACTCAAAAGAGGCTTGTGAAAAGTGGCTGTCCGAGTTCTTCGCAAATAGAAGCCCACGAGGGAGGTATTATGAAGTTGCCGTCTAGATGGAAACAGATTATCGAACAAAACGGCGCATATTTGAACTAAATCCGATCACTGTAACACTTTTTATAAGGCATTGAATAAAGAGCAAAAAAAAGCGGAAGGGAGATATTTGCCAACCTATTGTTAGTTTCATAAGAAAAAAACAATACTAAAAAATAAAAACACTTGTTACGTATTTTTTATCTAATTGGATATACCCCTAAGCTTTGCATATAAAGGGTACTAAGGGCGCTCCGCAGAAGGCAACCGAAACTTCAAAGCTTAGTTCATTTTTTGGCGCTGAGCAAAGCAGTTGACTAATAAGTCATAGGTCACTAACATGTATAAATTTCAACTGACATTCGTTTGCCTGGCTCTGTTCACTTTGAGCAGTTCCTTTGGTCACGATTTGCAAAGTGTAAGAAGTTCTGAAAGAAGTCTAAGAAATGTATATTCTGTAAATCTATAGGAATTAATTCTCAGGCAATACCTTCAAAAAAGTGCAGTTTCATAAGTATTTAATTTGAAACAAAAAACTAAATTAAATTTTAAAAAATCAAAAATAACCGCATGGTCGATTTCTTAGTACAAAAGAATTACTTTTATTTTAAGTGCACCCATCCGACTACACCTACAACCTCAATAACAACAGAAAATTTGCCTACAACTACTGAAGAAAATATAGAGACCACCACACACTTACCTGAAAGTCCATCAACTGATAGACCTACCATGTCTATGGCTGCCTGGGCTTTTGGCACTGCATTTTGGTTTGGCTACTTTAGCAGTGCTGGTATACTGCTGTGTTCAGCATGGATGAAAAAGAAATGAAAGCCTATTGAAGAACTGTATGTTTTAATAATAAAAAAATCATAATTGTAACTAATAACTGTTTGAAGACAAAGTGTTACCGATTACTATTTAAATAATATTTTCTAAAATAAAAATGATTTAAAATATAACTCACTTATAAAACTATACCCGTAACTAGACTTACTAGATTCGTTGAAAAGAATGTAACAGGCAAAAGAAAACGTTTCCGACCATATAAAGTATATATGTATATTCTTGATCAGGATCAATAGCCGAGTTGATCTGGCCATGTCCGTCTGTCCGTCTGTCCGTCCGTCCGTATGAACGGCGAGGAACTATTAAGCTATAAAAGTTAGAAAGTTGAGATTACGCATGCAGATTCCAGAGACATAGACGCAGCTCAAGTTTGTTAAATGATGTTGCCACGCCCACTCTATCGCTCACAAACCGCCCAAAAATACCACGGCCACACTTTTGAAAAATATAATTTTTTTAATTTCATTAGTTTTGTAAATTTCTATCGATTTCACCCACACCCACTAGCTGCCCCAAACTGTTACGCCCACACTTTTGAAAAAATTTAAAACTTTTTTATTTTTTTCGCAATGTATACCGATGTTCTAGAATATGAAGAAATTTACTAGCTGAGTAACATTCTATCTTGTTTTTGCAAAACATTTAAACGCTATATTTGTTCACGTAAGTTTTGGGATGAGTAAGGATCCAAGCCAAAGAGAGTGCGGAATAAAACCAATCCTGGACTCCAATCCACTGGGCAATTTCTATACCGGAACGCACATAGTTGACTGCTCATGGTAGGTATAGCCCGGATCGCATATACATCGGTTTCGGCTGACACACACGCCATTATTGCACTTCCTGCTCCGAATAAATAGATTGCCATTAATCTGGTATTCTCAGCACGAAGTTTCCAGCTTACTGATAGCAATCGGCCTGGCAGACGCCATCCCTCAGATTGTAACCAGGTGCGCAGTCGCACAGGTTGTTGTCCTTGCAGAGTCCGCCAATTCCACAGTCCGGTTCGCAGACGGGCTGGCATCCGTCGTCGGTCAGCTGGTAGCCCTTGGAGCAGCCACAGACCTCCGGTTCGGTGCAGTTGTGCCTCGGACTGTTGCCACAGCCACTGCTGCAGATCGGGCGGCAAAAGCGTCGCGTCTCGTCCAGCTTGTAGCCCGGATCACACTGGCAGCTGCCGTCCAGGTAGCACTGACCATTTTGGCAGCCCAGCGGGCAGCCAAACACGCAGTCGCCGTTGTCGTTCCGCACAAAGCCATCGTAGCACTCGCACTCCCCCGGAATCTTGCAGCTCCCGTTCTGGCAGCCACATTGCGCCCGGCACACGGTGACGCCCATCAGGCGGGTGGCCGAGTATCCGGTGCAGCAGACCTCGATCAGGGACAGCCGGTTGGCCTGGTCCGTCTGGATGACACTGGGGTGCTGGTACTTCTGCACCGTATCGGGGCTGCTTTCCCCAAAAATAAATCGGAAACATGTGGCCTATGAATTTTGGGCTTTTAAAGTTTCACAATCCCTAGAAGTACAGATAAGCCCTGCGATATCGTATTCCCAGAAGGGAGTATAATTATTTTTGATAATCAGTAAAATTTACAATAAAAAAACATGATTTATCGAAAACATATATATCAAATAATTAATAAATACATATATACAAAAAAACAAGAATATATATATATATATATATATAGATATATATATATGTATATATATATCCACAACGTTCAACGTTGTTTTCAGTGTATGTGACATACTTACGGCACCCAAATGCGGCATTTGTGTTGCCCTCTATCGGATTGCGTTTCATGGGATCGAATGAGATACTCTCGTCGCTTCGGTTGCTGCTCCACATTTCTGGGATCTTGGAAATTGGCTGGTCCAGGTCGGTTGTAGGACAACTGTCTGTTTTCCATGTATCCGCGGCCATAAGTTACCACTCCTGGATCCTGGGATACGGGCCTCCTGTTATACCGATCCGAATAGTTTGGCACATTTGTGTAAATACTGGGCAGACAGACCATCAGGTGGAAAAGGCTTAGACGAATCCCTAAATCTCGCAACCACATCTTGAGAACCAGCACTATTTGTTTCTACTTTCTACGTGTTCACAATTTGCCAGCTAGAATTCCACTAATTTTCGCTACTGAAACAGTATTTATTTTGATGTCTTATCACAAAAGCTACATTCGATGCATAAGCTAAGTTGAGCGGAATTTGGTTCAGTTTGTTTCTGAGAGGATTGAAAACATGTCAATCGAAATCAGTCTATCGACTTGTTTGTACCTCTGCCGGATAACATTCTTCAATATTTAAAAACAAATTTATTTCTGAGCTAGCTGCACTCCTTCAAAGTGAACTTAATATAAGAATTTGTTCGCTTATTAAATACCTTAAAATTAATTTTTGTTTCTCCCATCACTATTCTGCCGGAAAAAAAAGAGGCAAGTCCCACAGTTAGCAATGAAAGAACATAAAACACAAGACGATATTTAACTCGTTCTCACTTGACATACATCCAGATCCAAATTAAGCGCTGAAGCCCTCTTATCATTGCCTCCGGCTGTGATTAGAGGCTGGCCCAACTGCGTCGTCTCCGGAGCAGTAAACAATCGCAACTTGAGCGTTTCGGTAGCGCGGCACAAAGAAATCTGCCCCCAGCACTGAGATGTCGCCACTTCTGCGATCTCTGTGCCTCCACTCGGTGCTCCTGGTCCTGTTCCTCTGCGTGCTGCAGGCCCTGGAGCTGCAACTTCACGAGCAGCAGCTCAAGCAGCAAAAGGACGAGCAGCTGCGCCTGCGCGCGGAGCAGCGCCAGCGGGATCTGCTGCGGGAGCACGAGGCCCTCCAGCGACGCCTCTCGTCCTCGACCACCACTCGGAAACCATATATAATACCCAACGGATTGTCGCTGCCCCGGAGGGGGGAACATCCGGACAAGTGCTATCGGGAAGTGCCGTAAGTGGGTGTAACTCAGAGCCCATCAAACCAAGGGGTTCTTTTAGACCTTGCCCATAATCAGCCCCAAGTCTCACAGCCACGAGTTATCATATGGTTTAAAAATTTCAATTGTACAAAACAAGCTAGATAACCATATTATAATATTTGAAAAGCACACATACGAGTATGTACATGTACTCCATCCAATCTCCAGGGCCGTATTCTTCCAGTACGACAAGGAGGTGAAGATCGTGGGCAACAGCACCACCAATCCGTACTTGAACGTGATCGAGGTTTGCTGCAAGGGCTGGCGGCGCTATGAGTATGACTGGAGCCAGTGCGTCCCGGATTGCGGGGAGCGGTGTCAGGAGAACGGCTTCTGTTTGGCGGGCGGCTTTTGCCAGTGCTTCACGGACTTTGTGCTCAACTACCGCAACAATTGTGTGCCCACCTGTCCGCTGGGCTGTCCGCATGGCCGCTGTTATCTAAATGGCACCTGCAAATGCGATAAGGGATACGAGCTGGACGGATCGCGCAGCTTCTGCCAGCCGCAGTGCAACACCACCTGTGGCCACAACGAGGTCTGCTTGGAGCCGGGCAAATGCACCTGCGCCGAGGGCTATGCCCGAGGACTGAGGGAGTCTGCCGCCCTGGGCTGCCAGCCCATCTGTATTCCCGACTGCGGATACGGTCACTGCGTTCGGCCCAACGAATGCGAATGCTTCCCCGGATACCAGAAACGCCAGAACGGCATCTCCTGCGAAAGCGAGTGCTATAAGTGGGTATAAGACCAGACGCCTCTTCCATGACATTTCATGATCGCATACTTTTAGGAGCTGCGAGAATGGCTTCTGTGCGAACTCAACGACGTGCGTGTGTCAGAATGGATATCGCTACGACAGGAACACGACGAGCTGCCTGCCGGATTGCGGGGACAACTGCGATAACGGGGTGTGCATAACGCCGGGTAACTGCCGCTGCTTCAAGGGCTACGTCCGGAATCGGGAGCGCTGCGAGGCGGTCTGCGTGGGAGGGTGTGGCTTCTACGGCAAGTGCATCGCACCGAATGTGTGCGGATGTGCCATAGTGCCGGGACCGGAACGAACCTACCAGCGCTGCGAGTACGGATTGTGCAACGCCTTGGGAAGATGCCGCTGCCAGGTGGGCATGACGCGGTTCATCGATCGCTGCATGTCACCGGACACGGTCACCACCTACGCCTCCATGAATCCCGTCAAGGTGAACGCGTCGCTCATCCAGGAGTTCAATCTGCTGCTGGGCAGGCACTTCAACTTGACCACACTCAGCGATATGTGGTGGCTGTGAGATAAGGGCTCCGGGTTTTCCATAATTCTCTCACTTTTTCAGCGTCACAGAGCAGTCTCTAATAAATACTCACACATTTCTCAAAACGTGGTCGTCTTATCAGGGGTGTCTGAAATATCTTGCGGCTTCATCTCTTGGGATTTCGCTTTATGAAGCATGACCAGCTTAAATAATCAAATCTGTCGAAGAATTTGTCCCCCTCGAAAGTTGTTTCATTCAAATAAGTATTCAATATTTTTGGTATATCACTTATTTTCTGCATAGTCAGCATACCCCACGAATACCGGGTACGCAACACATAATTATCTTCTTACGAATGTAGAGCATTTCTATCTCCGCACACTTAAATGCCGCGCTTGACACAGACGACCATTTAGTAGCTCCGAGACGCTGGCGCGCATTGCGCTCGCATTTTGATACGACCTCGCTTTCAGCTGAAACTGAGCGAAATGCACTTGACATCCACACTGATTGGGCTCCTTATCTGCGGCCTGGGGATCGAGATGCCCACACCCACAGCCGCCCAGTTCTGGTCGGTGGATCCTGTCGCGCAGTGGCGGAAAGAGTCTCTGGCCGAGAGGGGATCCGGCATCTGCTACAGGACCCTCACGTAGGTAAACCATTCTGATCCGCTGGCCAATCTCAAGATTAACTCCCTGCCAGTGTGGAAACCGTCAATCCGAACTCCAGAAGTCGTCAGATCTCCTACTGCTGCGCTGGTTATGTGAATAAGGGAACAAGCCAGAACCTCAAGTGCGAGCCCATCTGCACGGAGGACTGCTCCAATGGATTGTGCCTGGCGCCCGAGGAGTGCGAGTGCGCTCCGGGTTACTATAGGAGTAACAGAAGGTGTCGCTTTGTCATGGCATAACAAGGATAAGCAAAAAAATATAAACAGATACATTTCCTGAGTTGATATTAAAAATAACGAACTTTCAGAATGCAGTTTAATAGTTTAATAGGTAAACAAACTAATGCTTGCCTTGCAGTCACAAAAGTGGTCATATCAAATCAATATGCAATATTTTACGGGTATATAGCTAAATTTCCTCAATGTCTTTTATGGCTCATACACTGTGGTGAAGTAGAAATATAAAATGAAATACTCTTAATTAGTTTTACACTCATGATTAAGTTTTATTATATTCTGTGCCTTTGAGTGTGGTCTTTCGTCAAGAAAAAATCTCTATATCTGAAGTCATCGTGATACGCAAGCTTTTCTTGGAACTACCCAAAAGCAATGAGCTTTGTTAACGAATCGCAATTTATGGCAGTGATCAATTTGCGTTGCCTGGAGCTGCTGAGAGCAAACCTTCAATGGGTCCATTGGCGAGGTGCTGATTAGAAGGGGACAAGAGGTCGCCGGCGGCGATTGGCGGCTGAGAGATCCGGAGCTTCGCATCGGGAGCCGATTAGTCTAAGTGCAACTACAGCCGTCAGCGGACGTGGGCGCACAATCAATTTCCATACGTACGAAATCCGGTAGCCAAGTGACATCACCATGAGCTCATCGTGTCAGCTGGTGACTGTGGGCGTTCTGCTGGCCATCTGTTCCCTGGCCCAGGGACAATTCAAGACGGCAGGCATTAAGACACGGCAGCCGCCATCGGGAAACCTCCAGCTTGCCGGCAATAGTAGTCAGCTAGGATGGAGCAGCTACAACCAGAGCAGCTACGGCTGGAGTCGGAACCAGAGCAACTATGCCTGGAACCAGCAAAACCATGTGGGCCAGGGATCAGCTGGATTTGTGCCCGCCGAGACCTACCAACCGGCCACTTTGCCGCCGCTTTATGGCCACTATGTGCAGCCGGTGGCTCCGCCGGCTCATCGTGTCCAGGTCCTGGATGAAACGGCCCTGTTCATCAACAAAACCCGATCTGGGATGGCCAGTGGTGTGTGCTTCAAGGAAGTTCCGTAAGTGATGGGTAATCCCAATCGAGAGGAAAACACTTTTATAATTCCACTTGAAATTATCGCCCAATTCCGAAGGCATTAGAAACCAAGGCAAGCCATTCAAATAGTGAACTAACGACCTCAACTTCCTCCGCTGGCCTGATAATTAAAATGCGCCTTGAATTCACGAGTACACATATGTGTGCCAAGCTAATAATGTGAATGAATTTAATATGCAACGAGCGGAGAGTCGGCAGATAAGCACAAAGTTTTTAAATTTAGTTGAGTCAGTTCCATTCGCATTGTCTTGGACCATTTGAAATTTAATAATTATCAAATTAAATAGGAAGCGAGGAAATAAATAGGAAGCCTTTTCTTTTAAATTGGTGGCACACATCTTCACTAAGCAAACAATTTTTTATTATTCTAAAAAAAATATATATTCGCAGCATATTTATAAACTAAAGTAGCAGCTAGAGAAGTTGATAATCTGTTTTCGATAGTTTCCAAACGGAAAATGTATGTCCATGCAATAACAATTTTAAGCTATTGAAAAATGAAAACTAATGTGAGTGTATTTCACTTGTTTGTATCCAGAACCGCCTCGCTCCTGCGCAATTCCCGGGAGCAGTTCGTTGGCAACGGCACCACTCCGGACATGAGTCGCATCCAAGTCTGCTGCGATGGCTATGAACGAAATCCGCACATCTACCGACGCTGTGAGCCGATCTGCGCGGATGACTGCCGGAATGGAATCTGCACGGCTCCGAACACCTGCGTCTGCATTCCCGGCCACGTTCGCAACTCCGAGGGCAAGTGCATCTCCACCTGTCCCCTGGGCTGCGGCAACGGAGTGTGCGATGAGCGGAATGAGTGCAAGTGCCGCGAGGGATACACCCTGGAGCCGGAGACTCGGAAGTACTGCCAGCCGGAATGCAAGCCCGGCTGCTCCTTTGGACGCTGCGTGGCGCCCAACAAGTGCGCCTGCCTCGAAGGATACCGCCTGGCCGCGGACGGATCCTGCGAGCCAGTGTGCGACAGTTGCGAGAATGGCAAGTGCACGGCTCCCGGACACTGCAACTGCAACGGAGGCTACTTGAAGCTCCAAGGACGCTGCGAACCTATTTGCTCCATGTAAGGGTGGCTTTTGAAGGCTAGGAAGTCTGCTTAAATTATTTCCCAACTTTAGACCCTGCAAGAACGGACGCTGCATTGGACCGGACATTTGCGAGTGCGCTTCCGGTTTCGAGTGGGACCGGAAGTCGGCCGAGTGTCTGCCCAAGTGTGACCTTCCCTGCCTGAATGGCGTCTGTGTGGGTAACAACCAGTGCGAGTGCAAGACCGGATATGTGCGGGACGAGCACCAGCGGAACATCTGCCAGCCCCACTGCCCCCAGGGATGCCAGAACGGTTTCTGCAGTGCGCCCAACTTCTGCATCTGCAGGCCGGGATTCATCAAGAGCGGCATCAAAGGGCGCCAGACCTGCCAGGCCGTCTAAGTTAGCCTAAGACACTTTATTGTTTCATTCATTCCGTCTGGGATCAGAAATTAAATAGACGCCCGATCAGGGCATTAAACTCGTAGGCAAGCTGGCGATTGAAGTGCTTTCTCTTTTCGCTGGTGTTCAGCTGCTGGCTGAGGCGGTCCGTCTTCAGACATCGATCTATGAAGTGGGTTTGCCCAGATGGGCAGCTGCAGTGCTCCACATCGTCGCAGCTTCCGTTTCGGCAATGCTGTTGGCCCTCACCACAGCCGCAGATCTCGGGTGCCACACACCGACCGTATTTGCCACAGGATCTGGGGAATGAGCGGCACGTTATGCGGGTGAACAGCTTTTGTTCCGGGAAACAGACCTCTCACACTTGGGCCGACAGTCGGCACCGTGGACTTCGTATCCTTGGAAGCAGCGGCACACTCCGGGTGCAATGCACACCCCGTTTCCTTGGCCACAGTTGTCGCTGCACTCCGGCAAGCAGCTGGTGGTATTCACGTTGTAGCGATATCCTTCTCGGCAGTGACACTTGTACCGCGACTCACAGAACCCATTCTCGCAGTTCCTGGAAGCGGTTTCAAATGGCTTAATGGTTTTTCGGGGTGACCTTAATACATTTTAGATGAAGCGGTACACTTACAGGTAGCACTCAGCTTCGCAGACATTTCGGTTGGGCCGTTTGATGAACCCGGCGAAGCACTCGCACTGATTGGGCGCCACACACTTGCCAAATCCGCAGTCCGGAGCACAAACTGGTTGGCAACCCAAGTCCGGCGTTCTCCGGTAGCCGGGGGAGCAGTCGCACTGGCCAGGCGCCACACACTCCTCATGGGTGCCACATGCCTGCGGGCACTTGGGCCGGCAGAACTGGCGCGTCTCCTCATCCAGGACAAAGTCCTGGTGGCAGGCACAGGTGCCATTCAGATAGCACCTGCCGTGCTGACAAGCAATGGGACAGGTGTGGATGCAGGCTCCATGTTCGTTACGGACAAACTCTGCGAAGCACTCGCAGACGCCCGGACTGCGACAGAATCCATTGCGGCAGTTGTCCGGCGTAGTTTCAGAGCAGTCCGGCACACATTCATGGGCATACGGATCTCGGCGGTAGCCCACACAGCAGACCTCTATGCGATGGAAGTAGATCGTGGATCCATTACCACGCACCGGGGCATCCCGCTCGGTTTGGAAAAACACAGAGCTATAATCGTCAAATCGCATTAATCAATATATAGCAGGTGCTTGAATAAATACATGAAATATTTTGATTATTGTACAGATGCTCGGAATAGTTATGAGCCCTCGCCTCCATTACTTTGTTTATCATTATCGTTTTGTCAAAACATTAGTTTACTCACGGCACCTCGCGATGGCAGAGATGTTGCTGGCGCTCGCCAGTCAGACTTAGTGACTCAAAGTCGCCGTACTCCGTATTTTCGATGTCGCCGTAGAGCTCCGTGGAATCGGTCTCAATCTGGACAGGAAATGCCACCAGCGTCAGAAGAGCGGTGAACACGGCCAACGGTCCACTAAAGTGCATCCCGCCTTGGTGTTCCGAGCTTCGATGTTGGGGAGCGAATGAATGGCAGCCAATGGGTTTGAATCTACTCAAAAGACCTTATCAGCATCAAGTCTCGTTCTCAGAAAACATTCAGAGAAAATGAAAACATTAAATTGCGCTTTTCAGGCATTAATAGTTGTATTTAGCGAATTTATGGTGGCTTTATTTATATTTATCTTCTTAATCAGCTTTAGTTTAATAATAATAATAATAATTTTTATGAACTCATAATTAAATTGTTGAACTGACTTCAAAACAAATGTATTCTATATAAACATTCGCCTTTTATTATACATTTAGATAAAAATACAATTACTTCTACAACTTTAATAATAATTTTCCATGTGGGCTGTATGGATAATGGGACTGTTTACCACAAATCGTTTGCATTTTCAAGTGCTCAGCTCTACTTTGCTACTTTTGAATAGACAGAAAATTGTTATTGTTACGGCTTAATTACTAATATATTTTTAAATATTTAAAAGGCTATTACGATGCGGCAATTTGCACACGCCACAAACGTAGAACTTAACGAAACTTAATCTATTGGCTGACTATATTTTTATGGATATAAGAGTCTTATCTAAAGAAAAAGTACCCCTAAAGAATACAGTAACCTTTAACCATGCTAATTCAACTTTGGAGAGTGATACAAATAAGGTGACGCACCTAACCTACTAATACAATATACAATTATAATATCTAAATATGATTTATGAATTAATTTGCTAAAAATATTTAATTCGTTTTCGTGATTCCCAGTTCAAATCAAATATATTTCCTATAATCAATATAGTTAGCTGATTGTTAAAGTTACTTGCTAATTGCATCATTTGGGTTTACACCTGTACATAAATGTAATGGTCTAAATATGTCATAAAAATAAGTATAGTTGTGAAAACTCGCAGACTTAAAATGTAGATTTATTAAAAAATTTGGTACAAGATTACCTGGTGTATGTTGAAAACCACATTTTAAGTTTAAATTAAAATATATTTGTACAATATGTAACGCATTTTCATATGTAGAAAAATCTCTGGTATCAGCAATCAAACTTACAGGTGGGCAACTCTTTTGGCTGTGATTTGAGCAGGAACCTGCAAGAAGTTGGAGTTCTGTGGCGGAATTATCAAGTGGGTGACATGATGCGATCGCTGATGGGGATGAAGACCTCCATTGGAGAACTGGTCGTTCACTGGCATCACCAGTGGCCTGGCCGGCAGGAAAGCGGAGGCGGTGGTGGAGTGCTGGACATGCTGATGGTTCCGTGGGTGGTGCTGCTGCTGGTGGTGCTGCTGCTGGTGGTAGCGGATCTCGTCGTACAGATGCGAGTCCAGGCTTCCCTTTCGAGACTTGGGCGAAACCACCGAGTAGAGGGACTCCTTCCTAGCATAGGCGTAGGGTGGGGTTTTAATTGAGGAGTTATTGCTGGGAGTGTCATATAATTCTGGTTGTGCTGTGGAAGAATGTGATTTCTGTTGATTATAATATTTAGCTATTGAGTCCGTCTAATACTCCAAGGAATGTGATTTATACTAGAAACTTAGTTGAAACTCAGATAATAAAGATTATAAATTGTGTGTAGATACGTGGATAGCTATTTTAAGGTCGGCAGAGACACTTACATACCCTCGTTCAGTTGGGGAGTGACCGCAAAGGCCACCGGCGGCTCGGGCAGTGGTTCGTGGAAGTTTTTTCCCAGGGCCGCGGCTTCGGTGAGAACCACCTCCGGATTCGCAGGCAGCGTGGTCACCGTTCCGTTGGCATTGTATACGGCAGAGTTTTTGTGGTGATACCTCCGATACACGTACAGTGAACCCAACGCAATGGCGACCAGCAGGAGGAGCATTATGCTGACCAGTGTGATCACCAAGCCGGACTGTTGATCAGCCGTCGCCGTCTGACTGGTGTTGGAGTCACCTCCGACGAATCCGGCCAAGTGCTCCTGCGGGGAGGTGATTCCATTGGTGATGACGTGGATGACATCCGGAGTGGGTACCCCGGCGGCTGCAGCCGTATGGAGATTCTCTAGCAGATCACTGCCCGATTGATGGACAATGATCTTTGGCGAGTGCTGGGCATTTTCGTGGCTGGCCGGTTGCTTGATTACTATGACCTCCGGCAGGGGAACGGGGGTGGTGGGACGCGGAATAATACCCATCTTCTCCAGCGTGGAGTTCACAGTCTCCACGATGACGTGGCTCACATTCAGCTGAAGAGGATGCTCATGCTGAATGCAGGCGCCCGTTTGGGGATTGCAAGGATTCTCGTCGCAGTCGCAGGCCTTGCGGCACATGATACCGTAAGTTCCCTGTGGACAGGGCAGCTCGCAACTACAAGAAATTACATTTTTGCAACAGAAATTAATTAGGATGTTGGGACTATAAGCTTACTACTTACAATTGTCCTGTCCAGCCGGCAATGCAGTGACAAAGTCCCGATTTATTGTCGCAGGCTGCTCCATTTTGACACTGGCATAGATTTTTGCAGTCCAGACCCCAACGATCGTGATCACAGCCTACGAAGAGCCCATTGAGCCAACAACTGATACGGATGTGCCTATATACTTACGCTGAGTGCAATGCTTGCCAATATAGCCCTCCTCGCAGCTGCAAGTATCGGGCATCACGCAACTGCCACGCCCACAGCCGCCCCGGCAAATGGGCTTGCATGTGGCCTGGCTATCGGATAGATTTCCCTCGTAGCCTTGGCAGCAAAAGCGAACTGTGCGCGTCTTGTTCAATTTCTGAAAGGGTTTTGCATACGAATTCGTATAAGTAATATGAGCTGAATATCCAAAAAAAGCATTTCTAAGGAATTCAAGAACAATGTCATAACAATTAGCTTTAAAGTGATCATAAGCAACGCAAAGCCGAAAAGTATGCCTCATAAAACTAAAATACTATATGAGCTCTGACCCGATTGCTTAAAATCTCAGAGCTGCCATAAAATCTCTTTGATCTACGACGCTGAAGAGGGCATCATTGCTAGAGTCCATTAATTGGATAAACTTGTGGAGGGCCCTCCTCTCCATCAACCCTGTCAACGCCTCAGTGTCACTTGCCCCTGTGGCCAGTGGACTTTGGCCCAGCTCTCGACAGTTACAGAATTAAGATGGAGATTATTGTAAGTCGTCATTCCGCCCCAAGAAGTACACGCATCATATCACCCTTGAAACCCCTTGAGTTGCCAATTTAATTGGATAACTGAATTCCGGGCGAGCTTCTCACACTCATTCCAGTTCCAGATTCATTCCCAGTCCACATTTTCCGATTCACGCATTGTTCGCAGTCGAGTTGATGGATTCGTATCTGAATGCGGCATGTGTATCTCTGTCTACATCTGTCTCTGCATCTGTATCTGCCTGCATATGTGTCCCCCACAAATGAATAAGGCGGAAATTTTAATATAAACAGTGAAATTCGATTCGAGTTTGGTCCTCTGATTCATTGTGTCTGCATAATTACGGCTGGCTTTTCAAATGTTTGTCATAAATAGTAATTGAATACAAGTTAAGCAATTTGTACATTTGCTACTCCAATAACCGCATGGCCACCCTTCACTTCACCCCTTTCCATTGGCAATGTGGTTGCCCATCAATCACAGCTGTAATCACATCTTTTCTTGGGAAAGCTATCGAAAATCATGTGGCACTTTACTGGCTTAAGTTACTGCCAGTCTAGAGATCAAATCTATTTTTCCACTTACACTCGAACTTATTAAGGCGTACACCTCGATGTTAATTAATTAAATTAAATTGGCAAATTAGTGGCTACATTTTCTGACCAAAAACAGAGTGTTGGCCAAGCAGGCGTTGACCAAAATCGCCAGGAATGCAAGTGACAGGGTTAAAAAATTGTTGCGTCAATCGAAGAAAAATGGTTTAATAGTGTAGGCCGTTAAGGCGATTCCCTTCAAACACCTAGCTAGGCGGCTAGAAAAGTGTGAAGAGCTCCAATTAAAATAATTATTAAATTAATTCGAGCCAAGCGCGAGCGATCTCGAATCTCACAAATCATTAGACACGAAACCGAGGTAAAAAATAAACTAAGCCAAAACTGGCTGCTTCTTGTCATGGCTCGCAACTCGGCTTAGTGATGCAATCGAAAGTGTGTCAACAGCTTTGGCATCAAGTCACCGCACACAAGTGGAGCTCTTAATGCCCAATTGCAGATCGGTCCGCCAGGCGATCCAGCCCGGCCATAAGTGCTGGATTTTCCGCTTTTCATTTGCACTTTCCATCACTGACACCATGACATAATTATTTAGCCAACCCCTCCGAACGGGGTATCCATCGAAAAAGTGCGCAAAGTAAATAAATGAATAGAAAAATAAAATAAACCAGCCGAGCCTGATTAGACCCCTCGGATCGAGCAACTGCAACCGGATTCTGGCCATGCTTGGTCAACACTTGGCCGCTGCCGTTGTTTTCCTCGCTTTTCCCACTGCGCAGTTGAAAATGGCCAGGCGGTGTTTTTGTGTTTGTTTGTCTGCTTTAAACAATTGCCTAAAATTAATAACTATTAATTGACACTAATGGGGAATCAGTTATCATCATTTATCACAAAAGCATTTGCAAAACTGTGATGTAAGCGAGCTGGTTCTTTCATTTTAAAGATGTAATGAATGATCGTTTAAATAAACATTACTAATTGAAAAAGTTTCGATTTTGATACCCGCTATTAATAATCTTGATTTTACATTTTTAAAATCATATTATTTTTTTAGGCGTGTTGTACCAAATAAATGGTATAGATATAGATATTGCGCATACGCCACATGTTCCCAGTAGTTCAAGAACTTTGGCAGCCAAGGACGCACGTGGAGCCTCGGATGCTTCAGGTCAAAACCGGTCGCTGGCATCTTGACCAAGTAAAGTGCACCGGCAACTCCTGCAGTCCAGCACAGCTGCCGCAAAAACCAATCCACGGGGCTTCCGTTCTCCATACGAGAAGGACAGGAAACCCCGTTTAGCTTAGCCAGAATTGCGCAATGCATCTGGTCGCGGACAGAACCCATATAGCGAGCGATATACTCGTATTTGAGAAATGTAATCAAAGTCGGCCATCGAATCGGGGCAATTTATGGATATCGTGGCGAGCGGCTTCCTGGTTGGGCAAATCGAAATCGAAATCAGGTTTGTGGCGCAGGCTCCCCGAGATCGTGGAAAAAGTGGCCACGGCGAAGGTGTTGCCACTGGCTGATCGCCACATCGCGGTGACGTAAGAAATGCCCGCAAAGGCAGAGCCGGCAGTGGAACACCTGCGTCCATTTGGATATTTGGTCAGTTGCCCGGCTCTCCGATACGGAGGCAGAAGCAGTTCAAAACTCACTCACCTGGACCCTCATCACCTCGCGCATTTCCGTCTTGAAGGTGGCGCACCTCGGTGGAATCTCCATGCACCAACTGGAGGTGCGCACACGCACCGGCTGCATCTCCGGCACCTGGACATGCTCCACGTAGGGCTCCTCGCGGATGCAAATGTTCCCGGGTCCCTGGATGGAGGGCAGGGCCAAGGCCCCGGCCTCGATGTCCTTCACGTTCGTGTTGATCTTCAGGGTGCTGTTCTGTCCTGATCCCAATGGCAAAACAATTGCGAGGAGCAGGAGCAGTTTTCCGATAATCCCTTCTCGTATCATATTCGTTGTTTTATTTTCCACCTTTTGTAACAGTTTAAAAGCATTCACTTTATTCTGCGATTACCATGTCTGCCTAGGATTGTCGATGTCAAATTTTATTCTTGAAAAGTTCCTGAAATTTTTCTGACAGTCCCGAAACACTAGTCACTATATTTGAACTAGTCGACACAAGTCCTTGAACTATTTTTTCAAATTACACCTTACAATATAACGTTCCGATCTAGTTCTGGTTCAAGCGAGGATCTTATCCGCTTACATCCAGCAATTTAATTAGGCCGATGTGCGCTGCGTGTACGTTTGGATCGCGAGTCTCGTGAAAACTGTTTCCCCGTTGGCGACGATTCTGTTACTCACCCCGAATGTTCCTTCTCGAAATAAAGTAAACTATGGAAAGCAGCAACAAAATACAGTAGTCATTGCAAATTGTCGTCGAGCCAATAAAGGCCGTCCGGGGTGGCGAGGGACTTGAGATCGGAGAGCGGAAGTACGCACTGCACACCCAATTCTACAACTCATGGTAATTCTACAAAGCGAAAGTGAAATGTAAAGCGCGCCGGCGAGCGGCGAAGTCTCCACTGCAAGTGAATGAAACTCAACTCCCCAAAGCGATTACACCCCATTCCCACTTGCCCCGCGATCGCGACGAGGGCGATGATTGCATCTAATTGAAATGTTGATCATGTCCTTAGCATGCGGCTGTCATTGGGGGCAAAAACCCGACTACGTCGGTTGTTTTCGTTGTCACTTTTGTTTTGATTTCGAATCGACTTGCGCTTTTCTTCAGCTCCAATTAAGCGATGATCCAAAACTGGGCATTTAATGGCAAAGCGGATATTTGAAAGAATTGTGCAGGGGCAACTACAACAAAAGGTGCTCAACATAAATTAAATCAATGAATTACTAGTATGTTACATTACATGTAAGCTGGTTTTTAAAGAGCCCAGAACAAAAATAATGTAAATTAATACCAAACTACGTTTATTACATGTATGATAGACCTAAAATTAATTCATGCAAGATTTGGCAGTCTAATTTACCACTTAGGCAACTAAACGAGTACCAACAAACTATAACTTTGTTTAATGGTACTAACTAGACTATAACATTTTACAAGCGGATATAGTACCTGCACATTTATTGACTTACATTAAAATCAAGTAATCGCGCTGTATTTGTGTTAAAGAGCAATGATATTTATACGGTCTTGTAATTTTAATGAGTAGAATAAGTATGTCGCTTGAAAAAATTTAAGTCGCTTTGCACATTATTCGCATTGCCATAGAAATCGTCTCCATCTAAGTTGATTAGAAGAATGTGGAAAGTGAGCTGCACCACTCAACTTACTTAGCCTAAGTGTCTTATTTCTTAGATAAACTTTAGAACAATGCCACCGAGATAACCGTGCACTGCCCAAACAACCCAACCAACCCACTCAAGTGTTGATTGTCTTGTTTACACCGAAGTTGCTGCTGCTGCAATTTATTAAATCAAATTTATACACAACAAAAAACCAGTTGGCCACTCCATCAGAAACCGCAGACGGGGCAGCAGCTGCAGCAAAAACAAAAGCACAGCTATGAAATTGCAGCACGTTTATTTATTTTATTTGATTAAATTGCAAGCAACAACCATAGCAGCAACAACAAGCCCAGCAAATGAGTGAGCAATGTGCGTGCGACGCCGGAGTTCCAATGACCCGCATGGGTTGCACACACCATCCCACTCGGAGCTGCCCCAAATGCCCCTTTGCCTCCCAGCTCTTCGCCCATTTGGATACTGGTTTTGCAAGAGGGGTATTCGAAAGAACAATGCTGCATGCCAGGATCAGCAAAACCTTCAGGAATTTATGAGAGTTAACGATAAATGGTGCGAAAAGGTGACTGAATCTCTTTCTTGAAACATCTTCCCCACCATAATTTATGTTATATTATATATTGCCACATCAAAGGGTATCCCGCATTCGAGCAAAAGCGTAGTTTCTTTTCGGTTTGTTGCAATTTTTAGGGTGCAGCCAGTGCCACTCGGGCAATTTGTCAGATTTGCTTGTTTTTTTCATTTATTTAATTTTAGAATTGTGTGTGTGTATTTTTTGGCATTGATTCAAGTTCAACTTAGTTATAGGTGCGACTTGAATAAGCGGAAGTATTAAGTGGAACAACACTTTGTCTGACTGTTTTGTTTACAAATTCTTAGCGTTAGCTTGTAACTGACAGATTTTTATAGCAAACATAAGCTGAAGTAAAGGTAAATCAGTAAGATCAGAGGGTATAGGTCTACCGATGACTTTTGGCCCGTCGCAGCATTGTAATAGCCGCCAAAAACCTGCAAGCCAGCAGTTTCGATGCTCCTCTTGCAGTAGTCACCATCGTAGTTCCATCCCACATACTCGTTCGTCCGCAGATTCTCCTGGCGCAGCCATTCCTCCAGAGGAGCGAAGTACTCCCGCAGAGCGGTGCCATCCAAGCGGCCCTCCCTCTGGGTTTCCTCAAGGACCTCTTGCCATGGCTGGGAGGCTCCCTTGGACATCAGGGTTCTGCGGGAGAAGTTAAACTCATAATTGAAGCAGGTCTTATTTTGATTTTGAATGTTATTTATGCAAATATTTTAAATATTATATACGAAAAAAGTCAAGCGGAACATGGCGGGATCAAAGAAGTGGCAGCATGGTGCAAAACTAATAAATGGCCATTACGCATCTTGTTATTCTAATGCCTTTGCTAAAACTGTGTAGCTAGGTAGGTAGGTATTCATGATGAGATGTGTTAATTTAATGAACAAAAGGAAACGCTTGAACATAAATTAAGCAAAGTCTAAGAAGTTAAACAACAGCTCTATGCTGAAATAAAATATTGCTTTTGGAAACGGCCATCAAACCAGTTATTAGCGATACATTTCGATATTCTACAAACATTACTTACTTGAGGATGTTTCCCGCTGCTGGCTGGCGGTAAATGTCGCATTGGTGGAGCGGCTTCCTAGGATCGCCCGGAACATACTGGCCGGACTCACGGCACAGGCCTCGGTAGATCTGGAACTGCAGAACCGTGGAGAAAAAGTACCTGAAAGAGACGGAAACGTGGCTTAAAGACACTTCGACTTAGAACGTCCGCGGTCACGCTTCTTGGCCAACTTAAACATTGTCAATTGTCTCGAGTGAGAGTGGCTGTGTAAGACAGTTCGTGTTATTGGTGTTGGCGGCTGTAAGTTGAATTCAGTTGGAGCTGCAGTTCAGCTGCTGGCCGCTCGATCGCATTCTGGCTCAAGGTCGAGCTCCAGTTGAAGCCTTAAACTGAAGCAAGTCGCCGGGCAAAGTCGTTCTCTTGCAGTTTCGAAATCATGCAAAAGTCAAGTTTTGTGGTCTTGTAATTGCCATTTGCTTTATGCTCATTTAATCGCATTTATGTTTATGGCATTTTTATTGTATTGTTATGGCGACGGCTGCGCAATCAGGTAGCAATTATTCAAAAGATAGGTTCGAATCGGCTCGACCCAAAGCAGCCCGGTTTCGCTTTTTAAATTAAAATTATAATTTTATAGGAACTAACTATATTTCGAAGAAACTATTTTTCTGCGGAGTCACTGTCCATTGATTTATAATAATTATGCAATATATTGGCGGATTTGTTGTGTTTTTTTTTAGCATTCAAAACTAGTAATACGTTGAGGGCCAAGAACAAGTTCAACTAATGGATTTCTTTTGTTTGTTTTCTTTCTAAATGAGAGGGAAGAGGCGATAATTTATTTTCGGCCTTCTGCTCGGGGGTTCACCAGCTGAAGCGTCATAGAGATGCTTGAATTGGAGGTCTTGGGTCGTTCACTCTCAAACAAACCCCAGTCAAACATACTGCTCGTTCCTCCCAGCGAGAATGTTGCAAGCTGGGGTCTAGAAAAAAAGGCATTTTTAATGTTCACTTTTCACAATGTTCGATCACGGCTGCAAAACTCCCAGCCACCATTAGGTGCATCAGCTTCAGCCACATGGACGAGAGCCACTGCAACTGCAACCACTTGGCCCGGTGGCTCACTGGCTCACTGGCTCACTGGCTCACTAGCTCACTAGCTCATTGGCTCAGTGGTTCGGTGGTGTGTTATGTTTTTGGCACTTGGCAGCGGTTGCCACATTGCCACATCGTCGCCACATTTTCCCAGAGACGCGACATGACCCAATAACAGGGATTAGGCAGCTGCCTCGTCGTGTTGCTGGTGTGGTGTTGCCTCTTGCCGTTTGCTGTTCGCTGTCTCAACGCTTGCCATTCATTCGTTCAATCATTCAATCAAACACTCGGCTAGTCCAACGGTCTTTGGTCCAGTCAATCAGAGCCAACATTGTCGGCAATTAGTCCAATTTTTGTAGCAGCCACTGCAGCAGCCGCTTTTCAGCAGCATTGTGCTAAAATTAAATGTTGCGAAAATTCTATTCAACGTTTGAGGGGGACATGGAACATGTGTACCAACGAAAAATATGCGAGAAATCTTTAATTTTCGGAGACCACAAAGCGAGTACAATTTTTCAACGGCCGCGGGGCGTATGAACGATGTCGTTTATGCGATCGCCACTAATGATCGGTTTTCGGGTTCTCGTCTCGTTGGCAAACCATTCATTTTGGCCAATTGCTGAATGGGCCAGCTGAACTGAGCTATCGACTGCTATTTTCCCGAGTTTGCGAGTTTCGGGCAATCGATGGCAATTGACATTTCTGCTTCTGTCCGCTGGTCTAGCAGACAATCAAAAGACTTAAGCCGCGAACTTCTTGCACAATGCCGGTTTCAAAGGCGGATTTGCGACTTGGTCAAAGGCCAGATGGGAACTCAAGGAAAGCAACGGAGAAAATATATATTTAACTTGCTTTTAAGTAAGCGGGCACCGCTCAAATATATCTAGTATTCCATACTCTAGTTTTCTATAAATGGTATGCTTATAGATTTCTCGTTTGAGCTTATAATTTAATTCAAGCTCAATTCTTCTAGTGATGTGAATGTCACTTGTTGAGGTCACACTGGGTTACTACTGGCTTAGATCGGTTTTGGTTTCATTGGATGCCGTTTTCCAACCAGTAGCCTGCTAGCCATGCCCCTAAAGTGGTTCAATGTCCATGACTGACTGACTGATTGACTGGCGGACCCATGAATGCATTCAATCGTTTCGCGAAATTGCTTTTTAGTCTGCCTGAAATTGTGCTGCGGCCTGTAATTTGCTGCTAATGTCGTTACTCTTAGGGAAAATATCACTTCTTATTGTTTCGCTTGACGAAGCGAAAATTACTTGCGACTTACACATTTTTGTTTTTTGGCTTCTTTTTGTTTTAAGACCGACCTTGACTTTCATGCGCATGCTCATCAGGTGGAAACGGGTCGGGTTTTGTAATGGAACAGTGGGGGAATCCAAAAACAATATCAATTAATTTTGACATGCCGAGTTCATGAGTTCCAAGCTCAATTTGTGCGATAAAAGATTCGGGTCATATATACCCGAAATAGCCCACGTACTCGTAGAGTTAAGAGCCAAAATAAAATTAGATTCAAGTAAGTGGGCTTTGAGTAGAAAATATTAAAGATTCTTTTGAGATTATTTCCTGATTGCTTTTCTTAGCATCAGAGTTCCAGTTTTTAGCTGCAATTAAAACCTAAATGCGAATTCTATTATCTTAAAATTCATTTGATGACAAATTGATTCCATTAGCCAATCTGTTTAATATATAGCCCACTCCCACATACTGAACTAATTCCAAACTTTTAGATTTATTTAAATGTTACCAAAATTTATGCGCATTTGTAATGTGCAGTTTTAATAAACAAAAACTAAAAACCGCAGCAAAAACTGGTTACTTGTCGGAAATCGTTTAGGCTTTTCACTTGATATGTCAAAATGCCAAAACTTTGCAAAGAAAACGTGGCCAGCCCGATCCGATGCCGTTGTGGAGCCAATGGCCGGGGCATTAGGCATACGCCCTGTTGGCCACGCCACTCTCTTGGCCCGACCAGCAAATCATTTAAGCGCCATGGGCGCGTGGTCTAAACAAACTAATGCGACCAAGACAGCGAATGGCCAACAACTTCCTTCAAAAGATCGCAACTCAGATGGTTTAGTTTTATTTTATTATTTTTTTTTTTTCGCATCGACTTTTTTTTGTCTTCTTGTTTAGAAACATTGCGGATGCAGTCGCTCCAACTCGGCAAGAAGTCGGTCCGGTTTTACGTATTGGCCATAAAAAGAGTTCGAGTTGATGTCGACGTGGATGGCGATTCAGTACGTTGCACAATGCACTTTCAGTTTCGGATTCCGATTCCGATTTCAACTCCAACTCCAATTCCGTTTCGTTCGCAGCGGCATATTGCTCATTTTCAAGATACGACAAAATGCAGCGCTATGTAATTCCACTCCTAATTGTATCATTATTTATTGTTCTAGATCCGCTTTTTGGAACCTAATTAGCATTTAATTTGAAATCACTGTTTGATTGTGCCTCGATTGTCGCTAGATCCGTGCGCATAAATCAATAATCTGGTGAACCCAATCGCCAGACAATCCATTCAAAGCAAACCAGGCCCGTGGCAGCGAACTTGATCTAATTCCTATCCGAATCGACACACAAGTTGTTATGTTCGCAGTAATGATTATTTTTATTTGTATCATTTTACATTATTTTGCTTGGGCTTACTTGTTTGCAAAAAGTTGTAAAAAGTTTGCAATTCGGCATGGTAAAGCGGTTTAAAAACCAAATCGTTTGCGTTGGCAGCTCATAATTTTTAAGATGGAAGTTCGAAAAAATTGCAAGGAAAGCTTAAATGCTGAGGTCAAGCTAAATAATATATTTTGAGCAGATAATGCAAGACTTGTATGTTACGCGGGTATTACTTTTCAAATATTTAAAATTTAAACATGAAATATTTTGGTTCTAACACACGACATTTGGATGAGTTGTGGAATAAAGTTAATAAAAATCAAAATGTTTTAAAAATCGTTTAATATATCGGTAACACAATGATACCCAATTTTCCACTGTTAGTGATCTTAAATTTCCCAGACCGTCTTCAACTCGCATTTCAAGTTGCTTACCTGCAGCCCAACACGCCTACAATCGTGTGAGTAATCGCATGCTAGGCAGCCTGAATAAGCGAGGATTGCCACCAACTTGCAGCCCAAATAAGCCTAATTATTATTTTGCTAATTTGGGCCCCTTTGACACACTCTGAAAGCAAGTCGCTGGGCCAAAACTCTTGAAAACAGGCCACAACAGCGTGCACATGGCAGTCACAACAACCGAACATTAACACAGCGCAAAACAATTGGCCATAAATCAGTAGGCGGCTATATGCACTGGGCTAACTGCAGTTATTGTTGTCGTTATAATCAATGAATAACGTCGCATCGGTTGACCACAATTTATGGCGACTTCGAACATGAGAATCCGCTCGGCGTCCAAAAAGGCCAACTGAGATGCCAAAGTCGAAATGCAACTGCAGCAGCTTGCAAGCTTAGGGGGGCCTTTTCCCCGTAGGCTTTGATGTTGCAACCGCAACCCGTCACGCCCCCTCTCTTTCTGTCTCTTACCACCCACTAAATGGGAGTATCTGGTGGATACGTCTGACAGAATTGTAACTCTCGTTGTTGTGGGCAAACAGCTGCACAGGTCCAGCTGACTTGGCTCTGTTCCATGTGGGCAAACATTGGGAACGACATACTTTCCGCAGAATGTAAAAGTTGTTTAGACCCAAAGTTCAGGCGAAGTGTGGTTTGGAATTGGGGAAATCCAATGTAAAGGGAAGATAGCACATAATTCTGTTCTTTGTGACCAAGGGCGTCGGTAAAAAGGCCAAACAGGTTTGGCCTTTCGCGCATCTCAGTTAGTCTTGATTGGATGCGTTATCTAATGTTCACATTTAAATATTTAACAGAACTATTCAATCCTTCGGTTTCTTTTTGATGACTACATAATTATATGCAGATTTAAGTTGAATTTAAACGGTTGCTAATTCAATAAAGGCAGCTTTTCATGGGGGGCTTTTAGTTTTTCGAAATTTTGCTTATTAATATTTATAATTCCTAGGAAGTCATATC